TCTTGTTGGTTGTAGATCGTGCTCCCTCGTCGGCCAGGCCACTTCTGGCGAATCGACGGAATGACGTGGTCGATTATAAATCGCCGGTAGATGTCCTTGGTGACAGTCATCGGAACCGTGACAGGCGTGCCGCGAACTCGATTCTTGCTTGTTCGTTTGGCCGGCTGTGTCTCCACAAAAGCCCACGTCCCTATCTTGCCATCCCACATCTTGCGCTGGCCATGGTCGAATCTTGGACGAGCAATGGCTGTCAAAAACATGACCTTCTGGATGTGAGCCTTGGACTGGCACTTGCGTTGCGGTACGTCTTCATCGTGCCAAAGGTAATACTTGTGGTTCAACTTCGTGATGTAGAACCGCTTTTCGTCGACGTGCACCCTGTCAAGGATATCGTGCCACGTATGGCCATCTTCTCGCGTCGACTTGATGCATCCACGAAAAAACGACAAGCGCTGGGCCTTGTGCTGCACTGTCAGCATGGACTTGAGGCGACTGCTGCGCCGTCGAATCGCCTTGGCCTTCAACAGTTTCCACAACGTTGCAACAGGGATGCCACTAGCTGCCGAGAGACTGCGGTACGTCGAACAAGCATGTGTCGGGACGGCATTGACGCTGGCTTCAAGTTGAGCAAGTGTGTGCGTGGGCTTACGACCGCACCTTCCCTTTTTGCGCGACGCAACATTGCCGTATTCCCCAATGCCTCTGGATGCTTGCCCTTGCAGCCATATCCGTGAGATAGCTTGGCGTATGACGTTGTGCTTCTCGCACAGATGCTTCATGAACCCATGCGGCACACGGCCGTCGACCTTGAGCTCGAGCAGATAGTGATATATGGCGGTTCGCTGGTCGTTCGCAAGCTCACGACCAGATTGTTCACTCGGCATTCAAACCTCCGTAGCGCGGTCCCCAGAAATTTTTGAAGGGCGCTAGCAATATCTACGCTTCAAGATGAAGCGATTGCAAGTAGTTTGAAGCGATTTGGAGAAGAACTGAGGGAGTTACGAATGTTTGTATTTTTTTATCCCTGGCGTCCAGTGCTTCAGGACGTCTATCTCAGCCGAAACGTCAAATAAGATTGATTGGAAAATTGGTGAAGTGAGGTCGTTTGATAGGCTGTAAATTGGTGCTGGTTTGAGGGGATTTTGACCAATATCTACTTCGTGAAGGAAATTTGAAAAAGGTGTCAACAGTATTTGCGACCAGAGGAAGTAAAACTCAACCTAAAGTCTTTCATCTGCTTCCTCGCTTGTTGGAGCGAGGTATGTATGTAAAATGCAACTGAACAGTATTCAAATCATTTAAGTTATTCGTGAATGGTGGAGTTGCTCATGTTGCACCGACTTCTCGCCCTATTGAAACCAGTGCTGACTTACACTTCGACATTCCATCCAATGTGAAATTCCACCTCACAGTCAGACAATGAAGTGCTCATTGCTTGAATCCACCACAGACGTAATTTCAGCTACATAAGCACATGAACTAGATCGAATACCAGTGTTGGTCTCTAGTGGATTAGTCGGTCGCTCATGAACCCATAACGAGCCGTCCCCCCCACAACCCATTCGATCTGTGGGCAAGTTGCACTGTGTGCACCTCCGCTGAAGTAAAGTAAACTAATAGGGAAATCAATAACAATTCTTCCAGTCATTTCCCGCGTTTGAGAGAGCATGGAATATGATGGGGAGGGTTTGTCTAGCTGGAATGGTCAAGGTGAATCTGCGTTTTGCCATTGTGAACTCGAAATCCTCAATGAGATGATTCGTATCGTCTCAGGAATCACTCACTGCACACTTTGGCACTCGCTCAAGTCCACGAATGGTACCGTGCGAGGTGTCCGCTTGGCGGCCGAAGTAATGATTCATTGTGCAGTACCGTGCAGTACCGCAAGTATGTTTGTTTCATCATATCCATAGCCGACCGCGCACTCCCGACTCCACTGAGGTCGAGCGTCCATTGCGCATCCCAGATTCTATTCCGAGTCATGAATGCTCGCAGGATTCATGCTCTTCTTTAGCTACTCCAAGACATTGCAACGCAGCCGAGCACTCGATGCATTTACTTCAGCAGTGACGACCAATGAATGGGGCGGCCACTTTTGGAAGTCGCAAGAGATTGGGCATGACAAGCTACTCTTGCCCCGTGGGATAACCATCGCGAGAAACCAACTAGCGCACGTGGTAAATTGAATGAGCCACGTGGGGGCTGGCCTGGTTCAGACATTGGTTGGAGGTTTTCTAATTTATTGTCATACCTGGGTACTCGGTGCAAAACGATCCAGCGCAACCGACCTGTGGCAGCGATTACCCACCGCCCGCCCGCCTCGGCCGGTCGATACGGCGGCGCCTCGACCTCGTTCCTCCCAAACCATGCACTCCCACCAACCTCCCAACGATACACTCTAGGTAATGTCCAGAGCATCAAGAGCCCGGACATGTAGTCGTCCCCACCACCCCACATGCTGCGCGAGAAACCACCTGGGATGTCAATACAAACCTACAGTGCAGAGCTCGAAGATCCAGAACGTGCCGATTCATTGCATACGGCTTGTCGCCTGACGACGAATCGACGCGGGGGGGGGGTTCCGCCGGCGCCTACAAGCAAAACATCTAAGAGGACGTCCCTCTTTCCACCATGGAGGACGCTACAAACATCAGGGGAGCGGCACGCCCTAACCGTTTCCAGGAGCACGTCGTCGTTCCCGTCGTGATGTCGCAACCAAGGACTGTTCTAATCCCACTCTGACCCTCTGGCGCCATACAAGGTGGTCATTGTGGATTTTCCCAGATGCAGGTGGAGCACCAGAATTACTATTCGACTGCCACAGCGATCATGCAGCCCCATCCACACTCGTGTCGCTATCCCAACTCGTCCAGCAAAGGAGCGTACACGGACGTCAAAGACGAGCTTGCGTTGCCGCCTCTGCAAGCGTTCCAGTACGACCGACACCAACAGTACTCGACCCAGCCCATGCCCGAGCCATGCCCGTCGTATTTCCAACCGTCGGCCCAAGGTGCATCGTACCAGCAGCAGCAGCAGCAGCAGCCACCGGCAACCTACCATCCCCAACACCACCACTACGACCCGTACCCTCACTCATCGTATCATCAACCGTACGCGGAACAGCACACCGCTGGCCAAAGCGTCAGGTCGATGAATAAACACCTGGACCCGGCGCTGCTCGAGGAAGCTCTCAACGAATGCATGCCATTTATCGAGCCAATCATGACCATGACGACCTCGCCGTACCACGACCAGAACAATACGAACGGCACCCAAAGCCGCCATGGTTCCCGTTATGACTCCGATCCTTCGGCATCCGCATCGTACGCCCACTTCCACCACCAACAGCAACTGTCGCACCACTTGCCAGCCCATGCTCCATACCCTCAATACTCATCGTCTGTCCAACAGCACGATGCACTGCAGGCGCAACCTCCATCGCTGCGCCACAACCTTTCGTCGACTTTGTCGCACTACGCGCCGTCCGACGGCAGTGCTGTATCCATTTCGCAATCTCCGTCGAATGACGGGAAAAGCATCAGCGGCGCCGCGCGTCTGTGCCGAGTGCCGAATTGCAACAAAGGTATTCGATCCCGCGGCTTATGCAAGGGCCATGGTGGCGGCCGCCGCTGCCAGACTGCTGGTTGCAAAATCAGCGATCAAGGCGGCGGACACTGCATTGCCCATGGCGGGGGACGGCGATGCTCCGTCAAGGACTGCACGCGCAGTGCTCAGGCGCGAGGCCTTTGCAAGTGCCATGGCGGCGGCCGGCCGTGCAAGTATGCGGGCTGTACAAAGAACAGCCAACGCAGCGGGTACTGCATGGCTCACGGGAAGCTCATGGCAGTCGCCAGCACGAGCAGTGACAGCCAGTCCACGGATGAAGGCCGATCCGCAGGGACGCGTCATGGACTCCAAACAGCCGCCGCTAGTGCTACATTGTGAAGGCGTCAGCCAGCAGTAATTAAATTATTCCGTGATGTCAGTGTCCGTTGTTGTGTGGGTTGCGAGGAGCGCCACATGGCGTCGACGTGGCAGGTCCGTGGGAGCGTCGAGAGTGGAGCCGGCGGACGATTTCCCACGTTTTACGCCGGGTCGGCCGAGTGGGGGGTACTGGACCAAGAGGGGACCAGCTTTGGGCTTGAACGGATGCATCGACCCGCCGCTGCGTATCGCCGATCCTGGGTGGCGGATCCGTTCGATTGTCTTGTGGGTGCACCAGGTGGCGGCGTAGGTACACAAGAGCCGGTGTCATCAGTCTGGTGTCGCGCGTGGGTATCTCTTGGACCCCCGTGGGCCGACCGCATTGACTACAAAACCCGCAGAAAGTCCTGAGGCCGTCGGGCATGTGGTTGTCATCCGCAAATTGGACCATCAGGTCGGGTTTTCGATAGCTCCATGCGAAGACAGGGGTCCCACTTGATGACGCCACACCCGGCAACGCACTGGTACGTTGTGTGGGCAAGGGCATGGATGAGTCATTTCGCTGGTGAACATGCGATTTCGACGTTCGCATCCGTGGACAAGCTGCTTCTCGTGACTCCACCTGTTGCGGCAGCTACAATTGGTGTTGCGGCAGATACGATGCATATCAGGTTTGACCGAGCGACGTAGAGATCGCCGCCGCAAGGGAATTGCCTTGACATGTGAAGCGCGCTGGAGCGCCGAGCGCGTGGTAGTTGGGTGGGTTACCGAGTCGGTGGGTGTGCCAAGGTGGGTACGAGAGTTGCGTCAGCCCCCAGCCCATGCGGCCGTACGAATCCGGCTAACGCATCAGCGGATTCGATCATGGCATCAATCTGTGGAGAAAACGTCGTCGGCATGGGGCCGTGGGGACATGCGACTTGCCCGTCGTCGTGCGTGCATACCGCCATTACAGTACACGGATGCGACAGTTCTACGACGTCAATGGGCATGTGAGCACAGCGACTACTCCGCCCGGAGCAACCGCTCAACAATGTCCTGGATCTTTTACACATCCTCGACGCACCAACGAACTCAAGACTTGAACTCTGTCTTCTTGTACAGCTCAACATTCGTGACCACCGCGAATCCGAGCTACCCTTGCTTGGCGAGCCGTGCCATGGCGACGAAGTCGAACACCAGGTACCGTTGTCACGTTGGCTCTTCGTTGCCTATGACGGCAGGAGCATTAAGTGTGAACCGAATATACATATCGCAGGACACAAGGATTGAATTGGCACCGCGCGTGATTTTCAAGTTGGAAGCGTGTTCGCCCGGTTAGAATGAAGGGGGCACGGATATGCGGCCATATTGCACGCTATCAGCAGCTCCGATGAGCGGATAGTGCCGCCACCGCTGTAGCTCGCACATGACACGTATCTTGCGGGTACAGTCCTCCACACGAGGCGGAAATCTGTCATGCGCAGCCGATTTGAACCAGCTCCACCACTTGTCCGATTCAATTCAACTCGGTCGGTCAAACGAAGGCGACTCCGATCGTCCAAGACGCACAGCCCCGACCCTCATATAGGACGGGATTTTAGACTAGCGTGATTGCACACGTATTTGCAGTTCTCGGGTGTCGATGCTGCATCCGACATGTAGATTTTGCAAGATGCATGACAAATCCCGAGACATGGGTAGCCCTCTCTACATTGTTTTTACGCAACGACCACTCGGTTTCCAGTGACTCCGTCCACCCATCGCGTCTCGAACCACGGGTGGCTCAGGATTTCGTCCAAGGAAGGGCGCTCCTCCGGCCGGGCTCTCAATATGAACGACAGCAAGTCGAGTGCTTCGTTGGATATGGCCAGCCCCCACATTTTGGCCAATTCCTGGACGCCTTCCTGCCGAATGATACGAAACCGAGCGTCGATTTCGGACGGCACTTCGAGCGGTGGAATCCCGCTGAGAAGGATAAATAGCAAAATCCCCAGTGACCAAATATCGGCTTTGAAGCCTACACCAAGCAGTATAATTACCATGGCGGAACGATGGCAACGACTGCGAGCACTACCGTTGTATCGCTGGTGGTCGCCAAAATACACCTCGGGCGCCATGTAAAACGTCTTGCCCACACGTCCCAAACAACTTTTGCCTTCTCGAGATGACAGTCCGAAATCGCATATTCTACCAAAAAAGTCATGAATATGATGGAGCGTTGGACATGATCGAGCGACGAACCGACAGTGCTGGTTGGCGTCAAGGAGGACGTTTTCCAACGACAGGTCACGGTGGGCAATGCCGTTGGCGTGGATGTGGCGGACCCCATCAACAATCTGCCGAAACCATGTAGCTGCTTGTCGCTCCGACATGTACGCAGGTGGCGTCTTGTTGGGCGATGGTTGCGACATCCGTTGTGGTTGCGACGGGTGCAAATGGGGCTGGCGCTGGTTATGACGAGCCAAGTGGTCAAACAGTTCGCCGAAAGCGCAGTACTCGAGCACCAAACACAACATGCCGTCGTGTTCAAAGTATTCGAGCAGATTCACAATCGATGGGTGCGGTGGCAAACTCATCAGGATCGCCATCTCCTCGCCCCTGCATTCAACAATGCAAAACTGAAGCTGCACGTTTGCATCCGCAACAGCATGAAAATTGCGTACCCGTCCTCTTTGACCCGATGGCCGGTGCGAACCGCAGTCTTGGTTGTCACATTGGCCAGACACATCATCTTTATTGCCACGAAGTTGTCGCCATCGCACTGATCCTGCTTGCACAGTACAACCTTGCCATAAATGGCGTCCCGCAGCGTCCTCACTGGTGTGAACCGCTCCATTGGTCTTTCGAAAATGGACCTTTGTGCCATTTCCATGTCCGTAGCTTGAAAGCGCAGTTGGATAAGGGAACAAAGATTTGACAAGTTCATCGAGGACGTGGTAAAGGGGGAGTTTTTCCCATTATTCCTTGAATTCAGGCGACTGTGTGGGAATTTGGGCAAGGGATACATGAAAAATGGAGAGGAAAACTCCTGTAATTGTCCATTCGATGCTTCCCAATTTCATCCAGAACAGGTTGCATCAACATTCAAATTCGAACATCAAGCGATAGTCCACCGGATATTAACCGGATATGTCGCTTCATTGGTTGTAACTTCCAGGTTGAATCAATTGGATGTAGGCCAGCATGTACACGACACTCTCCACGGAGGCCACGTCGCGATCTTCACGACACATCCCGCGGAAGTACCGGCCGATGAGCTACGGATTGTACATGACGCGCTTGCACTCTTGATGATAGAATGGTCGTACTGCTCGAGGCAAGTGCACGCAATCGAGTACGTTCTTGGAGAAGTCAACGAGTGTGAGTTCTTTCAAGTTGGCCCCGTCGTTGCGGGAAAGGACGTGTTTCGCCATTCGAAAGTGGAACTCGTCTGCCGTCAGGATGCGCGCGGCAAGCCAGTCGAAGAATTTCGTAGAAGTCAGGTCACCTACCACAAACCGTCATGTAGCATCGACCACGGACCTTTTCAGGAAGGACACCTCGAACTTGCATGTGCACGGTTGTCACAAAAGAATCGAGGGCTTGCACCTACAATTACATGACTTTTCGATCTGAAAACGCCAATGCCCAACCTCCACAACGTTGATGTCGGCCTGGGGCAGCAACAGATACTGACCCACAGCCCGTAAGGCTGCGTCCGTCGTAATATCGAGCTCCAGCTGCGCCACATGCTGCTTGACGCTCATCAAGTACCACCAAGCAGACTGATCCAATTCGCCTGCATTCACGTGAACCTACAATGCGACCGAAATCTAGTGATGGCTACCTGCGAACACCGACCCGAACAAGTCGAGCTGGGGGCTTTCTTCTGCTCCAAACGTAGCAGTGAACTCGGAAGAATATATCGAGCGGACCGTACCGACAAAACGATCGATGGCTTCCAAAATGGACGCCATGACGAGCACGGCAACCCGTGGTTCTCCATATCGATCTTCGACAAAGTCAAAGCAAACTTGCGTGATCGGAAGAACGTCGCTTGCATGGTTGCTCTCGAGTGTCGAAAGTTGTTTCTACGACGCGCCCTCCACGTTCAGGGGCATTTTCAAACGCGGCGAACGATCTGCACAACGTACGTCTCGTTCGTGCTCAAGTGTCCACCGCACCCACTTGCGCTCGACGGTCGCGATCTTGGCCCACAAGTGCGAAAAAAAAATCTCCAAGTCGTCAACGTTTAAGGTTGGAATACATTTCGGCATGGGCTACGTACGTATTCCCACCACGTAAGGAGTCTGAGTCGCGCAGGACCATTGCATACCTCAGGATGCCATTTGACAAACGGAACCCAGAGCACCGTGTCGGGCACGGGCGGCGCGTGAAGCAAGAGCGTCTTGTGAGGCTCTTGGATCGAGTTCTACGCACAACGCCATGATGCGAGTGTACCCACCGAACGCGATCGACTATCTGCTGGGGAATATTCTTGTCGTCAAGTGGTTGGGCTTACCACGAGATCGCCGAGTGTTGCTTCCTGCTCCCTGACATAACTAACATGGCGAATCAACGTCAGGCAGGGTTCGGGAAGACGGCCACGATATCTGTCATACACTTCTAGCGCTGAATGTTCGTTTAGAAGAGGCTCGATGTCGTGCGCAAAATCTTGGCAAAATCTATCGATGCCTTGGCGTGATGTGCATGTGTCAATCGCATCATCGCACTTGTGGCGCATATCCGGGCTACACCGCTGAATGTCGTTGTCATACTCACGCAGACGGGCATTTCGCAACAACAGCAATTGCATTTCTGTTTGCAAAGTTTGCACCAAGGCTTTGGTTGCTGCATGTCATGTTGGACGGTCCATTCAAGCTAACAGAGGACGCACAGAGAACGTACGTGCATCACTTGATGCCGGTTGGGATAACGCCTTGGCACGCACCCCTTCAAAGTCTTTGCGGACAGAATCGGTTGTTGCAAGTTCGCGCTGGAGGTCGCGAATCTGAGCTTGGTACTCGGTGATAGCAACGCTCATGGCTTTCAATTCCCTGCACCATCCCTCGTCACACATCGCAACTCGATCAACGACTGTACCGTTGAAGGTACAACGTGGACGCTGCCATGTCCCGTCGCTGTTGGTGCGATTCAGATTGCAAAGCGTCAAAAGCCACCTTGGTACGCGCAACTTGAGCTGGAAAAAGGAAAGAATTGGGGGTGAAGGTTGTGTGGGGCAACGCCTCACGCAGTGGTGCGGAGGCAGCGCACCTTGAGTGTCGGCGAGTTCCCCCATCGTGATGTTGATTTCCTTTCGAAGCAAACGTTCATTGACCAGGACTGTCGAATGCTTCGCCTGAGTGTGACTTTGTAGGGCGTCCAGCTCCGCCTGCAATGCCGGCGTTGCTGTATCAGGGACAAAGGACTGCACTGATCCGCACGCACCTTGGCTTGCAACACGTTTGTCCGCTCTGTGTACGCAATGTCGAGCAGCACAAAGCATGGTATTTCTCGAAATGAAGTCCTGCATGCATAGGGCGGCGTAATGTTCAAGTCGTCCCTATGGAAACGAAGCAAGCATGGCGGACCTGGCCTGAATCTCGGCCACCGTCGCTGTGTCTGAAAACACCCCCGAACCGAAGAACCCCCTCGCCAACTTTTCGTCGCTGCCATGGACATGTGTGACATGGCGGACTTGAAAAGTGAGGCATGGGCAACTACCCCACGCACCTGAAAATGGCCGACTTGAGCTCCGTCAAGATCGTGCCTACCCATGCAAAGTGTCGGAAAACATCTCGGCGACCAGGGGCTCGCGACGTACGCAACACGGGACCAAACACGGTTAAGTCACGACAGAGCTCGTCCGCGAGTTGGATACAGCGCTGAATCCGGCGCTCCTTGTCAAACAGTGCATGGATGTTGTCCGAGGCCATGATCGCTTCCCGGAGCTGCAATTCATAGTACACCACCCTCGATTTCGACGACGCCCCCGACATTTTCGCAATTGAAGCCGTTTCACATACATTCACCCATGGCCTCCAACATGGAGCAGCTGCTTCTTGCCATGGCGTCGCTCTGCCCCAGCAAACGAGGAGAGTCAATGATGGCGGCGGATCACGCTCCGACGAACATTTCGATCAACGCCCACAATCTTGTCATGTGCTCGAACCATCGTTCGCTGCAACAACGACAGAGCTGATTGGCATTTTTCCAGCCAAAAAACAGGTTGGTATTTGCGGTCACCACGAGTTGAAAAGTTTTCACATCGATGGAGCAGGATGGAACGCACACCCCGACAGCGCGCGACAAATACACGGTTGCAGGGAGATATCCATCGAGATTCTGTATAGCTCGTCCTGTGACCGCAATTGGATGGGTTTTGTCGCGTTGCCGCTACCTTACCAACTACCTCAACACGCTTCCCCTTTGGCAAGTGCTACATGGCGCAATGCCGGCCACCAAGGTTTGCGGTGTTTACTCCAAGGCCACACCCACTGTGTGACGAAGGTTGTATGGATTGGACTTTGGATTTGCTACTTTTCCATGATGGTGGTGTCGACGAGAATGCAAGTGACCCCGCTGGGCAAGCTGCCTCGAATCACCTTGTTCACGCAAGTCAGCTCCCACGTGGCCCTTGTACGCACCGACTTCACGTTTTCAAGCGTCGACGGTGTGAAGACTGTTGCATGGAGTGCTTTCTCTCAAGTGCGCGGCACAATTGTGTGGAATTTGCTGTGATCGACGTCGCTCTGCCCGAGGTTTGCCGACTCGGAACACCACGTCGGGTGGCGGTATCACGTTGTCTCAGTCTCTCAGTCGATGTTACGGCGTTTACGACGACCCGAACCAACAATGCTCATTGTTCGTCTTCGCAGTCCATCTACATAACCTGCAAGGGCACGTCGACTTTGACTGCGGTGGATTGGTCCCATGTCGGTAGCCGTCAGGGGAGAGACGCACAGTGCCTGACGAGCCCCATGACGGAGAGCGCGACGACCCAGCTGTGAGCGAGCGCATTTGCCATTGCCAGTGTCATTTGAACCCGGCAGATCTTGAGCCCCAACGATGTAGCTTTGACAACGTGCGGCGAGAGCCGTACGTTGCCTTTGACTTTCAACATGTACCGCCTGTTGCCCAACGTGGCTTGGATGTGAATCAAGGTGGCGGGCGACGCGACCGACGGGTGGGTCTCAGTGGTACGATCCGGCAGCAAAGAACGGCCTGTGATAGTTTGGACGTACTGAGGCCGTGTCCTTGGCGGCTGCGGCCGACGATTTCGACGACAGCATGTCGTTCAGTAACGTGGCTGCCGATGTACGGTGGGTGTTAAAAGTCTTCGTACCCACCGTATTTTGAGCGTATTTTTTTAAATGCTCGTGTGTTAAGTGTTAAAAAAATTTGCGTCTTGTTCCTTGTTGTATAGTGAATCGAAAATTTGTCGCAATAGAATGAAAATCGATTTATTCGGACCATTGGATCAGCTGCAGTATTTTGACTAATGTCAAAAGTCTTCCTACCCCAACAAGAAAATGTCAACTGTTTCATTTGTCTGAATCCTAGTACTTCGAGGCATCTCCCATGTTGGCAATGACCTTGCTGAGCCGTTTAGGCATTGATTCGATCAATTTCTGGATGAATGCAACTGGGATGTTATCCCAGGATGTCACCAATTGACGTTTCAATTGCTCCAGCGATGATGGAGGATTTTGCCGTACTCTGAGCTTCATGTACTCCCACACATGTTTAATGGGGCTCAAGCCAGGACTCTGCGGTGGATAACTCAGCATGTAAAATGCATTCTCATCAAAGAGATGAGCACATTCTTCGTTCATTCTTCGTGTTGTGAATCGGTGCGTTGTCTTGCATAAACTCAAAGTCCACAAGAAGTGCCAATTTCACAAATTTCGAAGCACATTCGTCGTGTCGTGAATCGGTGCGTTGTCTTGCATAATAAACTCAAAGTCCACAAGAAGTACCAATATCACAAATTTCTCAGGCAATTCCTCCTCGATAATGGCCAGATAGTCCGTAGTCTTCATTTTCCATCACAGAAAATAAGCGTTCCAGTACCGTTGTAGCCAATAGCACCCCAAACCATAACAGTTTGAGGGCCACTCTTGAATGCCGGAGCAAGCAATCCGCCGAAGAACTCTGCTCCAGCTCGACGCTACTCAAAGGTCCATCAATTTTATCCCGACAAGTTGAAGGGAGTTTCGTCCATCCATGCGACGACTGATACCACTCGTCGCATGCTGAAGTTCCTTTACGTGCATCAGTACATTGAGCCACCCGTCATTCCAAACTTCTGTTTCTCACTCGATGGGTACGCACATGCATACGCCATTTTGGATTTCCGCTTCGATGTTGCTGGCACAAAGCGACTGGGTCACATACTTGGATTGCCTGCTGTCCTCATCACAAAGAACATCACACGTATATGCCGTGACGAAGCTATGTGTCTGCTTCTGAATCGACTGACATTTCCACGGCGCTACCACGACATGTCACGAATGTTTGGACGTTCCCTGGGACGTTTGTGTGATATCTTCTAGCAGCTCGTGCACGATATTTACGACCGGTGGAACCAAACCTTGTTTTTGAACAAAAAAATGATACGGGCCCGCATAAACACTTACTGCAATGCTGTTGCTGCCAAAGGATCTCCACTGGAATGCGTTTTTGGCTGCGTTGATGGAACCAAAGCTCAAACGAATCAAATATCAGCTACTGGGGATGGATCAAATTTGCAAATGCAAATCTACAGCGGACACAAACGATACCACTGCCTAAAATTTCAGGCCGTGGCTGCACCGGATGGCCTTTGCGTTCACTTTTGGGAGCCTGTAGAAGGACGACGTCATGATTCAGCTATGCTGGCATTGAGTGGCTTACCGCGGTCAATTGCCCAACACCCCGACAACTCTTCCAAAAAGTAAATTAATGGAGACCCCGCTACGGAGTAACGAAGTATATTTTGAGTGGCAATCGTGGAAACAACTTGTCGCGAGAGCAGCAAGCTTTTAATAAATCGATGTGAGAGTGCGGCAAGCTGTGGAGTGGAATTTCAAAATTGTGAAATCCCTCTGGCCGCACATTTCGTACAAGAACAGGTTAATATCATGCAATCTCCAGTGGCAAAAGTCATCTGTGTGGTAATGCTGTTGACGAATTGTCATTGTTGCCGCTTTCGCGGAAATCAAATTAGCATGTACTTAGATCTGCTGCCACCATCACTTAAAGAGTATCTTGACACAGTAGACGTTGTTGATCTGTAAAATGAGAATTGTGTACTGCACAGATATGTACTGTGTTCAAATTATTACTACTGGTATTGTTACTACTGGTATTGTGCGCACAGGCATGTTTACATTCTGTTAACAAGGGCAGCCAATAGAGTAGTCAATGTACACTGCAACACTTGAACTTGTTGTTGCTGTACCTCACTATCATTGGCGCGTACTTCACGATCATTGATCCACTCCAACAAGCCATTTACTTCTCAAAAATAAGTTTGCCAATCTCCAAGCACCTTTGCTGCATTCGTTCATCAACGAAAGAACCTTCAACATTTTGCCGCCATAGCCCCCGCCGGAGTCGTCTTCATCCTTCATCATTCGCTTTCTTTGCGACTTCATCGCTTCTTCGCGCACGAAGGCCCCATTCTCTTCGACTTTTGAGGCTTCTTCGTATTCTTGCGTCAGACAGTTGTTTTCTTCTCGCTTGGCTTCGCCGACTTGGTTGCAAATATCATGTAACAAGATGATCTTTTCGGTGACATTCTCGGCAGCACCCGAGGCTCGTTGCGAAGCGTTGTTGCTCTCACGATGGTCCCGTAAGAGGATAAGAAATCTGGCTTGCGCTTTCTTTCCGTCGAATTGTGGGCGGTCAAACTCGCCCATGGTGGCCAAATTGCGTGCGACTGAGTCCCAAACGTCCATGATCTTGCCCCTGCGGGCCAAGAATGGCATTTCTGCACTTATTTGGGTCAGTAGCAGGACGTCTCCGTACTCGGTGAAGACGCGGCGCTTCACTGGTGTTGTCATCACTTGCCGAATGGGAAAGCTTGACTTCGTTTCCGAGGGCCGTGGGAAAAGAATGACAATCAGTTTTCGTGAGTTTCCTTAACGGTTTTCGAAGGGTTTCTTGAAACATGCGGTGGGAAGCGAAACAGGAAACGAAAGGATAGTTATGAAACCTTTCTATTGTCAGTACTTCTCCGCAAAACCAAAATTTCCATGTGTGCATATAATTATTTCGCGCATTGTAACCTCGTTATGTGGTTGACACCGATGCACAGCGACGAATCCCTTCACCGATTTTGCAACATCACTACGAAAATCCACCTTCTGCCACGGTCAGAAACTTCGCGTATGACTGCCACCTGTTTGTCCGAACGGCGACGTTGCATGCAAATACGACAGTTCAAAGGACTCTTTTGAGTCTGACAGACCATCCGTACATCGTGCACAGCAGGTCCAAGAAACAGTTGCTGCCTGGATGGCATGCCACCGACCTAAAACCGCACGACGGGTATTGTCCCAGCACCGAGTGTGCGACGTGCATCGGACCGATGTCGACCCCAATCCTGGGCCCTGTCGGTTTGACAGATCTACCGTAGAGCGGACTCACCCGCTATGCAGCACGTGAGGTAGTTGGTCGTACGAAAACCACAAGCGGCAGCTCTAGAATCATTCGATTCACGAGGAATAGTAGCAGATATGAGCACAGAAAGCAATCGCTCCCCCCTCGTCTCGAATGCTCTGCGTTGCGGCCCCCACGCCATTGTCTTCATGCAGCATTCTCGGCAACGGCGGAACGACTTGTGTCGTCGACCTCTCCGAAGCACACGACAATATACACCTACTGTTACAAGTTGGAATGCTGCGACTGCCTAGAGCTACACGTGCGCTTTTGATAGGACGGGTCAGCACGCAGGTCAGCATGCCGTCCGTTCATACTTGGCCACCATTTGGACGACAGTTGTGCGATGGGCGAGTTGCTGGACCCACGCGATTCGATTTGCCGCGTCCATGGACGATTCATCACCCAGTCCAACCTCACCGTCGCGCCGAACTTCGTCAATGCGCACCTGGCATTCCATCCAAATGGTGGTGCAAAGAGTGTCGAGGACTTGGGGAGTGGCTTCAAGGAATACGACATGAACTGTCGTCAAGCCAAACACGTACAGCTCCAGCCGTATGAAGTTATCGGTCGCTTGGCCCATGTAATCGATGGCAAGTGTGCCAGCAAGGCACGACTCGCCGCTGGGAAGCACTCGCAAGCTGTGGGGTATTTGATCCAGCTCGAGCAGCATTGGTACCGACGCAAACCACGGCGTTGCCGATCGGATCTGGAGCATCCAACAACACGTCACAACCACGAATGAGATCACGGGCGCTACCTGAATGGAATGCCCCGACCGAGTTTGCGAGAACGCGACCAAGTTGGACGTCCACCGGAGGTAGCCCATGAGGGACAGCGACAACGTCCACGTTGAAAAGAATGTGCATTCCGGCATGTGCACCCACATGCCGTCAAAGGCTGTTGTCCCCACAGACTGCGTCGAAACGTGATCGTTTTGAGACTATGGAGCACATGAAATGATTGCTATCGCATTCTCTTTCATGCAAGACGCGGTGCTTCCTACCGCAATGAACATTTCCCGCAGTTGTGCGACAAACAAGCGATATAAATGGTTGGACGGCGACATGTGGCTGGTCGGGATTTGTGGCAAGTACCGCAGCAACTCCTTGATGTCGGTTGGTCCGCCTTCATGTTGGGTCAATACAGCCTGCACTTGACGTTGCAAGATGCCCATGCAGTCGTCGTACACGCGCAACGCTTGTTGTTTGTCTAGCACGGCCTCTCCATGGCTCACCAGGGTCCGTTGGATACGGTCGGACACGTTGCGAAGGGACGAAATGAGGTGCAAACAAAGACCGAGCGCCGTGTCGTGAAGAGGCGACAGCGATCCGCCAAACGGCAAGTGATGCCGGAGCTGCCTATGGTGTGAATGGTAAAAAAGAGGCAGCAACGACCGGCCGCATGTGGAAAATCCCTTGGACTCCATCCATGACGATTCAAACGAGGTCCACAGCGAAGGTGGACAGTCGTTCGGTTCCAGAACATGCAAGACCGCGAACAAATTTGCAATGTCGCCGTGTTCGGGCATCGTCGGGTAAGTCGCCAGGATGGGCATGCTGGTCGGAGCGCCGCTTCGCGTGGTTTTATGGTGGGTGGGGATGCGGGTGGAGGTGACTGCCGACGCAGTAATTGATCCCGTACTCGACGAGACATTTCGCGGACGAATGACTCGGGCTGAATCGTCCATGATACCCGCTACATTGTAGTCGTCGTTGTCGTCCGAGGACATTTCGGACCACCGAACGATGGACAGAGAACTCGGGGACGCAGTAGCCCGTCGAAACTTGTGCATGTAGCTGGACGAGGCGGCGCAAGCACTCAACTCCTTTTTCTTTTGCTTTCGGTTGTGTTCGCCGCGGTAGCTTGTGATGGTAAACGGCGTCGATGATGCAATGCCAACAACGCACCACGTTCCGTCGTTCGACACGTCAAACACAAACGCCTACGCATTCCCCGCCAATGAGTAGAACCGCAGGCGAATTCACAGCCATCGACACAGTTCGTACCTTGAGAACATGTGCGGACGTGCGTTGCGATCGACTTCGCCCACTCTTCCACCCGTAATGCCATCCGTCTCCCTTCTTCTCGTCGAATTGGAAGCTCCACGTGTTTCCCTAGGAAACGTCGCTGTCACTGTCGAGGAAACGTAGTCAAAGCATGCCCACGTTCTTCTCGAACTCTGCAGTACGATCACTTTACCTTTGTCCACTCGACATGTCCAGGAATCCACGTCCGAAATGGCGAATCTCGTGAACGCAGATCGTCCAGAACTGTACCCGCCGGGACAATGTCGTGCACGGCCCAGTCGACGTCTTCGTCGAGCTGGGAAAATTTGGCGTATGCGACGAGAACGCTAGGGCGTGCACCGGTGGCCGCCGCGTTGGCATATCCAGCGTTGGCAGTCGCCGGACCGCTCCCGTTCGACAGATTCCGTGGGGCGGTGTGGACGCGGAGGTTGACGCTGCATCCGCAGTTGCGGTAATGAATATGCCGCGGACAACAGTGTGGAAAACACCGTAGAATCTACAGCCCAACACTCAATGCACCCAACGCGCGGGATACGAACCTTTTGGCCTTGCGACTTTTGGCACCTGTACCGAACGATGGCCCGAGTCAGGCAACGACGTGGCGCGACAAAACACACGCACCGGACATACGATGGCTGGAACAACGTGTCGTGGGTGCAGTTGGCCAAGTACAGCGCACAGTCGACTTGCATGGCGACGACGCAACGACCAGACGGCGGGGGCTCCAGTGCACGTGCAGCGCACCTTCTTGGCGACACGGTCGAGTCGTCCAACACAAGGGAAACCGTGGTGGCACACCCGCAGATTTGGATCTTGGCACTGCCGTGGTCGTGCTATTGTCAAGACCGCATAAAATCGAACGTTGACGTGGCGACTGGACGGGATTGGACGGCCCAAAGATCCACCCTGTATATATATACACTTTTTCTACCGTGCATCGAACGACGCATGGCCACGTGGACCACGGGGCACGAATGGGTTTGGCAGCGCTTGTCGGCAAGAAGTAGGGGCGCGCCCCACAACATTCCCCACCGACAGCCCCTGCATGCCTTGGTTGGACTTGGACGACGGGACCGACGCCTTCGGACAAAAGAACAACAAACGGCGTCGGGGGTTTCACCACGTTCTCTCGGTCTGGTCGTGAAGAAATGGCGACTTTGAAACAGCCCAAGATATGATGTGTGAATCCATTGTGGACCGCGCGGGCGGCGGCGATCCACTCGGGCATGAATATGTGCTGCAATGCGATCGTGCCTGTAGTCTCATTACTCGGTTACCCGATCGGAGCTGTCGGCCAAGAGCCATGGAATCCGGTCGTGTTGCTATTCGACGATCGCCAACATGGTGTGGGACTCCCCGCACGTGACGTGGGCGACTCGCGACGCCAGCCATCGTGGTGGATGCACCACGTCGACCGTGCCGTCCTGTGGCAGAATCTGACCTTGTGCGTTCGTGCCCCACATCTAATCCGTGCAAACAATGAAGTGCCCCCCGATGGTCAGCACAACGACGTGTCGTACCAGAACATTTCCACGCACATTCACAAAGGCGCAATGGGCCGGACCGCACGAAATCGACACAAAGTGCGAAGCGAACGCTGCATCGTCGACGTCGTCGGGGGTCGGGACCTTGACAAACCAAGTCGACGACAGAACGACGCGATCATGATCCACGAGTTGTCCAGCAATGAGCGCATGGCCAGACGCGAGCAGCACGCAAGAGTACTTGGCGCCACACCCGACGTGGGCCACGGACACCTCGTCGTGAGCCAGTTGCAGCACCTAATGATGCAGCAAGCGCCCGTCGAGTTCACAAGTTGCAGCTGACAGGGACGGAGAACCAATTCGTGCCTGAGTTGGGACGGAGGCATCCATAAACGACCCCAGACCCAGTTGACCGCTGTGCCCGCAGCCCCACATGAACAGCGCCCCGTCCTGGCAATAGAATCCCATCAACTAAACATTGTCCCAACTGAACGGCACAAGGTTCAACTTTTACCCGTGTAATCACAGCAGAATGGAAACTTCCTGCCGCGATGCGCATCGCGGCACCTGGCGCAACTTGGTCGACCATCTATGACAAGTACACAGCTCAAAAAAACCTACACCGACACTCACGAAACCCGTACGTCAGAGCAAGCTGTGCCACACCGCCGCTCAAATCGCAGGTTGCGACCGCCCCAATCGTGGTCCACACGTCCAACCTGGCATACCAACGAATATGAGCCATGATGGACGAGGTGGACGCATTGTTCGAACCTGAAAAGTCCATCCTTGTTGGAGATCCCGACCGAGCTGGTCAAATCGGTTGCTTCCCCACGAATAAACTTGCCCCGACGATGTCAGGGCCAGCGAATGGCCATCGCCACTCGCCACGGCGCTGATGTACGTTCCAACCAGATCTACCATTGCCACGCATGCATCCTTCGACCCTTTTGAACAACGAATGTGGGAGCGCACCTTCAACTAACGTCGGCGTCGGTACCATCGATACATTGGGGCATTCAAGCCCCAACTGACCGTTGACATTCGACCCTATGGCGTTGTGCTCCCAGTCATGAATGCACCACACATCGATGGACGGACGCAGGGACCGACGACTGCACATTCTCCATAGCCCCCCCCTCCACGCGCACGTACCCCAGGAATAAACATGCCCATTCAAGTCGCACGCCAAGACATGCCATCCACCACACGACACTTGAACAACATGTTGCAGCTGAGGAATTGCCGTCGGAACGTCCAGACGAGTCGTGGTCAGAAGCGTCACACCCAATCGTCCGCCCGAAGCATCTCCCCACGTCGAGACGTCACCTGCATCTACTCACAACGTCGCATTCGAGTCGAGTGGTGGCATGCGTGGGTGGGTACGTTGACACGGCACCAACCTGAAACGATCGCAAACCAACGAGGGCCGCACGAGATGTTGCGGACAGTGTCTCGAATGATTTGACCGGCAAACGGCGCTGAACCCATGACGCGCAACGTCGTGCAAGTCGCCGCTGTTGCCAACGAAGTAGTGACTGCCGCCAGTGGCGGCACGGGCTCGACTACGACGGGGCGTGGAGGCGGAACATCATCGTCCGAGTGCGACGTGAACCACTCCAGCGCGACTTGAAAGTTGGCCAGCGCAAACCTTGCATACACGCACACGTTGTCCGACACCGATTCCAACCGACCGGCCATAACGTGCACGACGACGTACCCCAACGCTGACACGGACGAGTTTACAAAATGGTACTCTTGAATGTACGTTACGATCGCGGCGAGTGGGAATGCAGGGCACTGCTTGGAAACTTGGACGAGAACGAACAATAGCTGGTCGAGAACGTCGTCCGTGCTCAAGTACTGTGCGATACTTGCGTCGCGAGGGGTGTTCGTGCGATGGCGGACGAGGTGTCGGCTGATCGCGTCGTTCAGTGCCGTCAGGGCCCGTTTCAGCTGCATGAGCATGGCCAGCGGCGAGTGGCATTCCACGTGCGTGTTGGCAATCAAGTCAATCGCTTGGCGCTGTTCACACTACACGATGCATGGGATGAGAACAACTTGCCCAAGTCGCATCGATAAGAGGTTGACTATCCGCAGGATTCGACCCGCGAGACAGAGCATGAGTCCGAGAAACGACTGGATGAGTTGCAGGGCGGGAGTTTACTTGGAATTCGCGGGCAATGTTGAAATCGCGCGGAGTTGCGTGCTCCAGGAGTCGCCACGTATGCCTCACCGCATCATCTTGCTTTCGACATCTACATTCCATCTCAGCATGTTGAAAGGATCCCTGTAAAAGCAGATCGGGAAATAATTGCGATCCCACTCAAATCGATTTGGAGTACCGCCAGACCTGAAAACGACAGCGGCGAAGACAACGTCGTGAACTTGCTCCATCAAGTACGATTCCACGGCCTGGGCGAGCTGCAGGTGCCGATGCCTACACCCAACGTGAAGACGACGTTGCATGTGAGGATGGACTTGCTGAACATGGGTTGGCGCCAAGAGCGGAGTGTCCAGCGTGCCTGTGTCGTCCAGAAGGTCGACGCATTTTGTCCATACATGGCGCAGTCGTCGGGGCGTTAAGTAGTGTTCTAGCGATGCCCCGCAGTGGTGAGTGCACAGTTATCATAGCGCATTTCGTGCAAACAGTCCGTGATACCGGAGCAAGAATCAGTGAAACACTGTGCTCGGTATCAAGACCATCGAGCATGGCATCCAGTGCATCCACGATCGCAGAGCACGGGATTGCATTGATGGATACGCTGAACAGATAGCACACCCGGCATCCAACCTTCACAAGTTCAATTTTTTGCGCAAGTCAACCGCACGAGATGACCGTGGAATCATCATACGACGTACGAGGACGTTTCTTGGACGCGGATGTGGTGGGCTCGAACACGTCATGGACAAACACGTCGAGCGATGAAAAGACAGCGGCCGACTCGGGGTACGCCCGAATCATGGCAAGGTACCGTCGAAAGGTCGCGCAGTCCATTTCTCCCATGTCCTCCGGGACGGCAACGCCGCCCACGAATGGTCGATTGATGTGGAGGAGCAGGCACTGAATCCACACTGCGTTACAGATTCGTTGGAGTCGGAGTACCTGATACGAGTCGGGTGGACCTATGGACGCATGGGCGAACGTGTCTGTCATGACGATGCGAACGGAGCGAGCGGGAACACCATCAAAACCTTCTTTCGTTACGATGGAGCTGCCCACTATTGCAACTCGTCTCCCTGCACACAAAAATGGCTCAGTGACGTTGGGGCAATGTAGAAAGCCACTGGGACCGTCGCTCTAGAAACTCTTACCGTCCAGGGTTTGGTACATGCCAACGGTGGCGTCGGCAACCAACACATGCGTCGCCACATCAGCAATCGTCACCATGCCTGTCAACAAGGACAAGCTTTGCGGCACACACACGAGAAACTTGATGGTAGATGATGGAGCGTCTCCATTATGGCGAGTTAGTTCGCGGACTTGCTGGAGAAGCTGTGGGAAGTGGAGCTCAACTGCGACCATGAACGGATTCGTCGACATGGCCGCCGCTGGCGCTGCGGACAAAAGCGTGTTTGGAAATATCATGGGAATGTTGGTCACCGAGGTTATAGATTATTAGAGGTGCAGGAATTTATATAGAGTACTGTATGATGTCCACATGCATATATTGTGGCAAACGAACTGTCAACGACACTTTTAAAGTTCATAACCTTGTGAAATAAACATTTTTTGTCTTGCCATTAACATACAATTTTCTCAAAAAGTATGAAGAGCTGTATATTGTGTGAAAAATAAACGCTATTCTCATACAAAAGTCAATCAAAATTGAATGAAAAGTCACATTTCACTACATCGTCCACAAATTGAAATTCAATACCTCCGGTGTACGTATCGCCGTTGGATTTCTAACGTCCAAATCGGCATGACGCCTGCCATGAGCATGCGGCATGTCGAGTAGACTGCAACGTAAAGCCGATTGGGGTTGTGTCATGGCGCTGTTGCCCGCCGAGAGATCGTCGCCAGCGTTTTCATCTTACGTAGTCAGCAGCATGCCAATGTGCTCCATCAACCCCTGCGGCACGAGTCAAGAGTCGCGAGGACGGATGTATCCCCACGTATTGCCCACGAAACCATCACATCCCACTTGGGCCAGGACCTTGCATTCGCTGTTTGTCCATTCGTCGCCACGACAATTCTTTGCCTCGACACAATGTGCACTTCACGAATCGGCCAACTATGTTCGATACACTCGCCACATCGCAGCATCCCGCCTTGTTCGCTACGGCTGGTGGCTAAGCCAAACGATTGTCAACGTGCGGTCGTGGAATCGTTCCGTGTGATGACATCGTTCCGGTACCGCCCCGTCGGGCTACTTGCAAAGGGTGTCAGAGGAAAGCCACTACTGATCACTTCTGCTCATGAAGCGCGCTCTCCTGGAGTGGAGCACCGTCGTGTATCCCCTGGCGGTGCCTACCAAACCGTAGTTTGCACCAAACTACGTCAGGAGGGCGATCACCTGTGCATGCACGCGTTCATTTGTTCGGCCGTGCGCCGTGTTTATTTGCACGGGCATCCCTTCGTTCTGCACGCTCGAACACGGACGCTATGGCACCGACGGCATCATTCGACGGTGTGCACTGCTGTGCCTACTTGACGACAAGACGTGCCAGCACCGCCTCCACGGACGTGAGTGCATCGCAAGCGCGATGGCCCTGACCTGCCAGCAGCCCCATGTACTCTGCATTTTTTCGCTGAAAGATATCTCGCATTCGTTGTCGTTGCCATGGACTCGACGCGGCCAGCGCTTCGTGTGGTTGCAATGCATCCACAAGCTTGTTGCGCAGCATGCGAGCGGGGCGCCCTGTAAGACCACGAGTGACCGTCGTCCCCGTTGACGGATGCACTCGTGGACCCAGCGACAACTTCCACTCGCGAGATGCACCACTCTCGGGGGTTCCAACGAAGGCGGTGCCGACTTGCACTGCGTCGGCACCCAACGCAATTGCTGCCTGAACGTGTCTCGCATCAGAAATGCCACCTATTCAGAGAGACACGATCTGTACGATGAGATGATGGTGCACATGTCGAAATGCACGGGCGTACCAGCAGCAATCACAGGGATGCGGCTACGGCCAACAGCGTCGCAGATCTGTGGAATCAACGCCATGCTGCCTATCAAGGCGTCGGTGGGATGGCGAGTGGCGATGAAACCTCCACGGTGACCCCCTGCTTCGCTCCCTATTCGAAAACAGTGCCTTCAGCGTCTTTGAAATACATGACGCGCCAAAGAAACACAAAGAGGCAAGACGTCGAATGATCTAGCTGCTGTTTGTATCCTGGGCGATCAATCGCTCATGACAACACCGGAGAGTTCCTCACCTTGAGCCACAATGGCATCGACCCCAGCGTCAGCTAGCATCGCCGCTTCTTCCACGGACGTCGCGGTACCAACCACCAATGCGAACGCCTGCAAGTCTCGAACCACAGCGCCATCAAGCACACCAAAGCAAAAACTGACCACCGCCGGGCGGAACTCCTGCGCCAGCGCGAGATGGTCGTCCAAGAACGACGCTGGAGGTTCGGGCACCGAGCCAGAAGGCATGCCGAGTTGCAAAGCAGCACGAACAGGCTCGAGCAATCGGTCGTACGTGTTCCAGTTGGCGGCGGAATCGTGCTCAGAAGTTCGCGACGAGGACGCGGATTCAACAAACACGTTCAGGTTGAACCGTTTGTCTGGGACGAGTCGGGCGATTTCCTCCAAGTCCTTTCGCACGATTGTAGGTGGACTAACGCCAGCGCCATACGAGCCCAATGCGCCATGCTTGACCACTTCAGCTACAAGGGCTGGCGTTGACACGCCAAACATCGGAGCTTGGATCACCGACGTGCGCAATCCGAGTAGTTGCCGCAGCATCGTCGGCGTTGTTTAACCAAAGGGGGAGTCACCACCGTGAACAATTCTGCTATCCGGATGTCATCGACGAATTGCACACCAATCAAATGTCTCCTCTATCCCATCGAGGTGGTAGCGAGCGGGCAACGGAGGAACCTATCCAACATGGCCCCCAACATCTCTCGCTTGCCTTTAGCTAGAGCGACGTCGCCGGCCGTTTGTTCATGTGCCCGAACGAATGATGCGATAAACAACTTTCTTGCATTTTGAACTTGCGCGACAATGACCTTGATATCATGAGGGTCTTTATCCCCCAAGCGATTTAAACTTGAAATTTGTAAACTTCTTTGGTCGTCGTCAATACCACATCCTAATTTCACCACGAATTATTCGTATCAATTTGACTACTAAGTACAGGACATCACGTGCTTGGTCGCCGTCGACGAGGTAGTAATCGGGCGCGATTTGCATTTTCTTTGCGCTCGTCCACGCAGCACGATGTCCAAGGGCGCGAGTGTCGTGGTGGGTCTCCTGGCAGTCTTGCTAGCTATTGTGTACGTGGAGGAGGTACAACGTCACCCGCTCTACGTCGGACACGTTGCACCACTCGTTCAGGACCATGTTGCGCCTGTTTACCGCGAGGCCGAAGCGCAGTATGCAAAGCACCTCGCGCCGCTCGTCCAAAAGCACGTGTCTCCTCTCTACGAAGCCCACGTCGCTCCGTTGGTGCGCTCGTTGGTATCGCTCACTCAATCTTCAGCGGATTCATCTGCGCAAGTCACCGCGGAGTGGTGCAACACGCACGTGGCGCCACACTTAACCGACGTCAAGCCAATTGAAGGTTTCCACGTGCTTTGCGTCGATACGTCCAATGCGAAGTACGCCCCAGCCAGCCCATGCATTGAATGATGCATCTTGTCTACCGAATCTTGTAGAATCTCCGGCTGGGTATATCGCGACGGGTTCTCTCTCTCGACTCCCGTGACACTTCTGGCGTCCACCACATGGACGGAACTCAAAAAGTCCGTGGAGGCAGCGGCCGAGATCGCACCCCCCACGACAGAGCATGAGATCAAGTTCAAGCAGCCGTGGGCATTGTTCACTCCCACTGGGAAACGACTTTGGAACTTCTCGGAAGTCGCAGCGCATGGCGGAATTGTGTACGTAATGGAAGGCGGGCAGTTTATCTGGCCAGGGATTCGCATCGGCCACAAGCGAGTCATCCCCAACCTCCACGGCCTGGGCGACGTCGTGTTGGAGACGCTCGAGATGACGCCGCTGGTGTTTTCAGTCAAGGAACTCCTCACGAACGACGAGATTGATGTGATCTTGGACTTGTCCATGGAGCATTTGGCCCCGTCCGGTACGTCACGATGACATGCCGAACAAGAAGAGGATGTGACCTGAAGTCATGCTGCTGCAGGCGTGACCCACAACGATGGCGATGTCGGCAAACCCGCCACCGAATGGCGCACGAGGTAACCTTACGTCTAACGCGATTGGATGCCGTCAAACGGTGGAATGCATAGCACGACCTACTTCTTGTCATCCCAGGGCCATCCTGTCCTCGAAGGTATCGATCAGCGTGTGGCCGACCTGGTGAAGGTGCCTGCATCGTTTCAAGAAGACGTGCAAGTGTTGCGGTGAGAGATGACGTCACTGGAAACGTGCTTTGAACGACATGGGGCGCAGGTACGAACTCAACCAAAAGTACGACGCCCACTTGGACTACTTTTCGGTCGAGCGACTCACCAAGAACCCGGCGATGGTCGAGAGTTTGCATCATGGGTTTAAGAATCGCATGATCACCGTATTCTGGTACATGTCGGACGTTCCCAAGGGCGGCCACACCGTGTTCCCGCGCGCGGGTGGCGCGCCGCAACCGACCGACTACACCGACTGTTCCAAGGGGTTGCTCTCGACGCCCCAGAAGCGCAAAGTGATTGTGTTTTACAGGTGTGCCACCCCATGACACTCTTGTCTTCGAATGCGCATCGAATCAACCACTGTGTTTCGGTAGCATGCTGCCGAGTGGACGTGGCGACCCGTACAGCTTGCACGGCGGCTGTCCTGTGCTCGAAGGCGTCAAGTATTCCGGCAACAAGTGGATCTGGAACAAGATATACACGTAACACGTCGCCATAAAATGCCGCTATGTTGGACTGAATTAGCTGTGTTGAATATACCCCAATGCCTCGACGTTGAATCAAGACGACTGTCGTGGCTCACTGAATGTTGCCCTGCGAGATGTCCTCGCGGGGTCGATGCGCCAAGCATTTTTGACGGTGGCAAATTTGCTCTTCTCGTCGCGTCGCTCTCGGTGCTATACATCATCATCTTCACCTTATCCCCATGGCGCGTGGATGAATTTTCAAAATCCCATGAGGACCCATGAGGTGGTCAGATGTGAGAGGTGAAATACTGTCATTCAAGTATTTTATTGACCCAAAAGCAAAAAATAGACAGTATTCAAGATGTTTGCGGAATTGAATTTTCCTCTCGTGCCTTCAAGACCTTTATTAACAAATTGTATATTATGCAAGTTTGCCAGCATTTCTGCATTCAAATATGCCACATATCTCGAATACGAATGCATGTAGTATTCGTATTGGAGATACAACTGTATGTGGCATATTTGAATGTATGTACACGACGCGGACGATCACATTATACGAAGATACTGCAAAAATTCAGTCAAGGGATAAAAAAATTATTGGGAAAGAGGATTATATTCTAAAAAATATACATAGTCCCCCGATCAATCAAGGATATCCACAAGGCATTTTCCGCACAAACCATGGACGCGGCGAAGGAAGAAGAGGCGGCGACGTTCCTGGATGGAAACAAGTCGGACAGATTCATTTGGATCGAACCTGCCTTCCACCGCGGCAAGTCGCTCGTCGTGCGCACGAGTAAATCCGTGTGTGGGTTTGGCCCCCGGTGGTGTTCGGTTGGCCCGCATTGGCCGATCATGCTCGTGACATTCGTTGCCTTTGCGGGGTTTGCATGCTTCACAAGTTATGTTGTGTTGACTAGTTCAGAGGTATACCATGGAATCGAACCGATCAAGCAGTTGCAACACCTTAAGATTATGCTGTCGTCGTTCGTAGGTTTCTTGGACGGAAGCGATCGGTGGGATCTTGCTCCTCTTGAGTTCACTCGTGTCGTATGGACTTGTGGCATGCATTGATCCCGGTGTCATGCCGTATTCCCCGATGCTGAAGCACCCCACCGACAGCTACTGCGACTACTGCGCATCCTTCCGACCAACAGGGTACATCCTTCAACACCTCAAGGACCCATCCCTGTCAAATCACGTCCGTTTAGAACGACCCACTGCTCCGAGTGCCAAGTGTGCATTTTGGACTACGACCACCATTGTCCGTGGACTGGCAAGTGCATTGGCAAGTACAACTTGCGCTACTTTTACCTTTGGCTCATCACCCTTGTAATTTCGTTTGTGTTCGAAATGATCGAACTGACCAAGTATTTACTGCCGCCCCTGTCGTCGTCGCCACCATCGCATTAACCACGGCTTGACTAAAATGGCTGTTCTTTATTCATGCAAAATATGCACTGATCTCAATCTCGTATTTCTTCTGTCGCGACGGCTACTCTAGACTCACGCTTTCAACATGTTTACATGATGCCACACTACCCACAACAACAATTCGCATGAGTCTGCGCAAATGCCAAGTCAATGATGGCTTACCCCATCCTTCGCCGGAGTGTCTGCCGCATCTACGTCGTCGTCGTCGACGTACATGCCTTCCGCATACGAGCTCACGACATCCCCTGACGGGTTGGTCAGCTGAGCAACGTCAGCTTGAGTGTTCCACATAGCCTTCTTGATTACGTAGAAGTCCATCGACTCCTTCTCTTCCTCAGTCGGGGCAGCATTGCGACCAGAGATCACAGAGACACGGCCGTTCGGTTGGATTACATAGTCTTCCGGAAACGCGAAGACCTAACACAGATTCACTCGGGAAACACCTCCAGCTTTGCATCACTGATGGACATACCACGTTGGTGGCCTTACTCGACACCTGCCAACCCGACAACGACAAAGCATCCGAGCCAGTGTTTTCCAACGTAATGCGCCCTTGTTCCAGGTTGAGGTACGTGATGCGCAACACGCCCGTGGAATGGCTCTTTCGTCGCTTGTGTTGACGGGTCGTCGACGACTTTACAGGCGTCAAGCTCGCTTTGCGCTTTTTACTGTGGTTCGCTTGGTCAATACCAACGCGGGACTCTTCGCGGTCCAAAATGCTGCGGTACGCAGAGATTTCTGTTGTAAAATCCGATGAATCCCCAATTCAAAAATCATTCAATCCAATGTGTACCTGCATCCAACGCAATCTTGATATCCATGAGGTCGTTGAATTCGGTCTCTTTGGCCAATCGCGCCTGGCGGGCATTGTCGATGTTGGCTTCGTACATCTTGCGGTCTTCCTACGGTCGAGCCACACAAGAACAGCGATTGAGCCCCCGCAGCCAAAGTGAACTTGGATAATAAAGTACCTGAAACTTCTTGCGCTCGTTGCGGTATTGGGTTTCAATCGTGGACAGTTTGTCCGTCAAAGACTACATTCACCATACAGACATACACAGTCAGATTGTGCCGCATTGGGAATTTTGATTGTGGGGTCCTCACCTGTCTGATCTTCAAGCTTTCGTCATAGTCATTGGCTGTGCGTTCGTATTCGACCTTAAGTGAATCCAATTCGAGATTGACTTCGTCCACTTGCGAACGGAGCTGTTCGATCTGGCCTTCGAAATGAGCTCGGACTTCGGCTTCCACGCTGTGGAGACGTTCCTCCGATTCACGGCGCCAAGCCGCCAAGGCTTCCAGGTGCTTGGCGTTCATTTCCTTGCGCACGAGTGTGATTTCCGTGTCACGAGTCAACGAGAACTCGGACGTCTTTTGCTTGAGTTGATCCAATTCATTCGTCGTGTCGCTCAGACTACGTTGAAATGAGAGTCTCATTTTTCCATTCCTGCAGTTCGAAATCAATACCTCGAGGTAAGCTTGCGGTTTTCCTTGTCTAAATCTTTCAACTTTCGTCGGGCGCTTTGCAACGATGTTGTCTGGAGAGCCAAAGCTTCCTTAGCCGCCTTCGAGCTTTCCTTCTCCTTGGCGAGTTCAGCTTGCACTTGTTCCAGTTCAACACGGATGTCACCAAATTCTTTGACTTGGGTGCGCAGCTTCACCAATTCTGTGTGTTGTTCTTGCTCCAGGACTTGGAGGCGCGTCTTTTGATCGATTTCAAACTCGAGCAACTTTCGCGTGTCTTCCAATTCCTTGCTCAAGCGCGTTTTCGTCATGCTCAAATCCATTTGCATGCGTTCACGAATGGTCTCGAGTTCTTTTTCCGCCACGTCGCGCGAATCTTGTACTTCCTTGACGCGGAGAACGTACATCTCAAGACGGTTGTTCAATTCCTACGCAATGGACCTCTATCAACGCCAACGCCATCGCCACATGCAGCAGGAAATCGACAGTACCTGGAGCGTCGTTTTCTCATCCAGGCGCTTCGACTTCATCGGCGAGAAGCTCTCACGTTTCGACGCCATCTTGACTGGACGGGTGCAAACTGAAAATGGAGGTAAAAGCGCGAGTGAGAGGCGGGAACATACAATTCTCAAGTCAAATGTCGGGGTCAATGGAGAACACACATTGGTTGAAATTCATTTTTCATAGATCTCTGATTGGCTGATTTGTTGACTGACTCTCAAACATGAAGTGACCCACTCTCATAAAAAGAAACGATCTTTTACGAGAAAAAGAACAAAAGTGATTTTAAATATCATGAAACCGTTGAGCAGGCATTGACCTCATGAGCGCGGCCAACATGACAATCTTGGTACGCGTGCCCCGACTATGACGACTGCACCTGACGAGCCGCGGCGTAGGTCCACGTCCATGACAAGGTCGTGGCAGTGTGCTGTGGGTCGGGCAGCCAGCGCCTCGAGTGGCTGGGACACGTCGGGATTGCACGGTACGACCCAATCAATGTGCAAGGCTGGATGCAGTTTGGTACGTTTCCTCGAGGTCGTTCGTGTCTATCGTTCCTATTCATGTTGATGCATTTGCAATGCTGTGTGCAGGAAGACCAGTGGCGGTTCGAAATGCCAAAGGTGCTGCGCTCGCGATGACCGACATTATTTGCGAAGTCCTGCTTGACAAAGACCATGTTTATATCGACACGTCCCGAACGCCTTAATGATGAAATGCCTATGAAGCACATGTACACCACAATTTTACGCTGCCTTCGCCGAGCCAGTCACGACGGGCGCTAACACACTCCGCACAAAGTCTCGTTCTTGCTCCATCGAGGCGGATGGATGGAGCCATTCCCACACGGCCACCACGCGCAGCACGTCTGATAGCTGCCACTTGGACCCCTTCTACGATAGCATAATCCCGCATTAGACTACCGCCATAAACCAAGCCACTCGAAGTCATCAACGCAGGAAAGACCCCATCAAAACCAGGGCTTTTGGGCACACAAGAGTGAACTTGGACGAGAGGGAGAGTGCATGCAATGCTTCGTACTCGGACTTTGACTTGGGCTTGAACCTCTGGGGCAGGCAAGACCGTGCGCTGCCAAGTCTTGTCGGAAGCAATTGATTCTGCCGAAGCAAGCAGCGCCCGCAAGGCAGTGCCGTCGTCGGGAGTTTGACTCTAAACCAGAGCAGGAACGAGGTGAGGGCTTGCACAGTCCCATAAACCACAGCAATACCTTGGCACCGTCCTTGGCTTGACCATCACATCCGTACGTGAAATGCCACAGAATTGGCAGCATATGATGGAGAACGCCTGAACCATGCAAGTGGCACCACAAGCATAACGCTACGACCATCTGCAGCTCGTCCGCAGCATTCGATAGGGGGGATGCCGCTACACACACCGAGATGAGCTATCTATCGGCATCGATACAGATGAAACCAAAGGTGCCTGAGACTTGTCCTTTCCATCGAGCCATTGTGAAGTCCCCTGGCACGCACCTGTGTGTGGTTGGCAGTCATGCTCTGCCGGCGACTGAGTCTGAAGCAAGAACGCCGCGAGCTCTTCGAATCGCCGACAGCCTTCGATCACATCCGACGTATGTTTCGCGTCCACATTGGACCACTTGAGGTCCCGCTTGATGGCTTCCCATCGTTGTCTTGGTTGATGCTGCTTGTCCAATTTGTTGGAGTGGCTGAGAAATGCGAGCGCGCTTTGCACTACTGCCGCGTCATGGCACAGCGACAGCTGGGATGGTTCAACGTCGTCGTTCACCGGTGGAGATCGTCTGCAGATGAAGACCCAGTGAAAACGTAAACTTCACTGCCTTGACGAGAATGCACGAGCGAAGCAACCCCCCGACACGCACTGGGAAAAGAAAAACGTTTACATCCATCCAACCATGACGCAACGCAAACTACAAAGTTTGTGTTTAGATCCAAACAGTCGATGCCAAATCCCAACAAACCCAAGTCAAGTCAACTCCACCAACATCGCCAGGCGTCATACATAGCACACGACGTACTGGAAAATGGGAAACACGACCTCTCGAAGGCAACGTAACATCGACGACATCATCTCGCCACGCTTTGCCGAATTGGCGACTGCAAGCTCAGGTTGCGTGTCATCGTTCGACCCAACAACGTCCGCGGGAGTAAACCACGTGCGCGTCGGGGCAAGCGCCGACGCGAGCATGACCCGGTGATCGAACTGGTCCTTCGTCGGATAGCTAACGTTGGAAGCCTTGGCCACGGTAGCCTGAACGAACCGAATCGTCGCATCGACCGTCGAATCGTCCAAAGGAACTCTACCATGTATAGAGCCCGTTATGCGACCAAACGAAATATCGACGATGGATGGCATTCACATGGCGTCGCGATCGAAACTCGACGTGGACAACGTCCATCAACTCAGAGCAATGTTCAGCATTGCGACAGGCAAGTGCATCGCCATCAGCACCGACGCACGTGGACACTTTTTCTCATACTATTCCGTTCCACATGTACGCCAATCGTACCTTAAAAACGTCGGAAGGACAATTTGCAGCAGGTTGGTCTGGCGCATCCAGTGCAGAGCCTGCGCTGGGTTTGTGCCACTCAGCATTTTTCGGACCTCAATTCCAACGCGCTCCCGTGTGACTTTTTGCGCAAGCGCCATCTGAACTGGTTCCGTCTGCATCGCCTACAAAGGAGGACGTCTCGGTCGCACCAGCCTTCCTGGCATACAGTCACGTCGTACTTGAACGATAGACGAGTGCAGTTGAAAGTTGTAATGGCTGGCAAAGCGAATGGCACGGAGGACACGGAGGGGGTCGTCCAAGAACGTTTCCGTTGGCGCCAGCGGGGTGCGAATGATTTGGCGATCGAGATCCAACAGACCCTACATGTGCGGCATGCTCCTCGTCAGATTCACACACTCACCACTTTCAAAGTCGAGAAGCTTCGAATCAGGAATGGGGGCAGCTGCCAAAGACACAACAGGCAGCCCTCCCATACGTCGAACGTCCCATCGTTGACGAAACAATGCCAGGCTAGGATCAAGACGACGACACCCCGGCGAGGTAGACCACCGAAGGGGACCAACTTTCGGCTGGTTTTCTACCTGTCCAGTAAAGTCTTCCACCGTTTTTGTGTTGAGGTTGTAAAAGAGGGCATTGATCGTGATGTCTCGCCGCATCGCATCTTCCTTGGGCGTTGCAAGCGCGCCTGAAAAAACGCTGAGCATGTGGAAGGGACATGGAAGGCGTACCAGATAATGTCGGGATGCGCGAGTTGGGGTTATTGTAGGTCTCGCTGCGAAGATGCACAAAGTCGAGTTCTTGGCCGAGGAGCTTGATCGCGGCGCATTCGAGGTGCTTCGACTGCTCTGCATTCTTCTTCACGATGTAGAAGCCCTTAATGGGAACACCGCATGCCTTTTGAAAAGCCACAATTTTCTATTGTTTCGATGAGTGAACTGGTTGACGAGTCCAGCAGGACACACGACGACACGACATATACCTTGACAAACGCCTCACCGGTCACCGTATCCAACGCAATGTCAATGTCGTCGCTCGGGATCCCGAGCACTTTGTCCCGCACCCATCCACCAGCAACACGGAGCGTTGTGGACGGAGCGTACTTCTTGCGAACGAACTGCAACACCTCAAACAGTTTTTCTTCTGCTGGCGTAAGTTGAATCTCCACTGCGCCGCTATCGCTTTTTCGACTTTGCCATCGCTGGAAAACGGTCGAATGCCGCGCGATGGGAAGCAGCACTTGATGCCGGCGCCGCGCCAGAAGCATCGCGATGCTGCGGTGTTCAATTAATAATTGGTCAGAGTGTCGCTCGATTCAAATTCGATCGCAACATTTTAAAACCTCTACGTAGTTGGCATTTAAATATTTTAAATCATGACAAATCCTGAATCGAAATGGTGGAAAATTTTTAAAACCTGTTTTAAATACATTTTTGCGCAACCTCACAGCCGTATTTCATTTGGCACGCGAACTCCATTATGGACGAACAATGGGACAGTGATGGCGCCGCCGCATCTCCGATTGTCCTGCCGACCCTCGTAGACTTCTATGGCAGATTATTGGGATATGTGGTGGTGTTGGGTGCCCTGTACTTGATGGCGACGAAGTGCGCGACGGCGTTAGAAGATTCTGAGCCCAAGGTTTGCACACAGGCATCATCCGCAGCCACCATGAAATAACACGTATACACGTAGGAAAGACCTGTCCTGCGCCAAGGACTAATGGTGGATGAAGAAGAAGAGGAAGACGACGATGACAACGACAATGTTGTCGAAGAGATTGACACGGACGAGATGCTCAAAGGTTCGTGGAGTGTCTGGTAAAGCCCCGAATGTATGGGTCATTTGTCTAGGCGATGGCACGCGCAACCGTAAAGCAAGAAAGGCTGCGCCGCCAGCATCGGGGCCCTTTCCCAAGGAACTCAATCCTCTAACGTACAAGCAGCCCGACGGCGAGAAGGTGTCGTTCCGAGACTTGCACAACGCCATGTTGAACCGGTACAAGGTTAGTTCCATTGCGCCGCAGTGGATTTCCTGCGGCGTGAATTCAATCGTCCAACCTTGGCACTCACCTTTTCGTTGGGATTGTCCTGGAACAGACCAAGTACCCAAACCATGGCCCAGACACACCGTCGACCAGTGCAGGCACCGACGATTACGACGACGAAATGAAGGCCCTCCTGCGGGAACACTTGGGCAAATAATCAGCATTCCTCATATCCCCTTCGCATCTCCCTCTTCTCAGCCGGCCCATGAGCGTTTGCCGGCGAACGTTTCTTGGCTTTCCCGAGAAGTGCATCGAATCTCCCGACCGCAACATCGTTGTCACATTCTTTAATGGATCTTAGAGTCTTTTTCTCGACTGGAATTATTTAATACTCTGAAGTGCAAAAGGCCTTCAAGCACCGTACGGTATTATTTTAAATATGTATATTGCCAATACCAAGAATTAAAGACCTCTCTTCGTGTTCTTAAATTCGTTCTTTAATTCAGGATCGGGCCTTTTTGGCGCAGGACAAATCGTTACGCGGGTAACGGTCCCAGCTTTGCACATTCGCGGAAGCAACCTCCGACGCCGCTGCGCTGCCCCCACGACGAGATTACTGGCTTGATCGCCCTCCTCACCTGCTTCCAAGGTCTCGTGTACACATCTCCATTCAAGCCTCCCTCGGTGTGATGAGCAGCAGCACGACCGCCGTTGCCACCGCCACGTCGGGCGGGATCGAGTGCTCCGTCACACACGGCCAAGCGATGCTGCTCCTGTCTGTATCACTTCTCTCTCTCTGCGGCTGCCTCTACGTCATCGTCACCTATATGTACGTTCCGGCACTGCGGCAACATCCCGCCGGCATCATGCTTGGCATGTCCGTGTACGGCGCGGTGTACCAGTTCATGTATATTGTCGAATCGCACGACGCACCGTCGTCTGCGTGTCGCGAAGTCCCTTTCATCGTCGACTTGTTCCTCACGGGCCAGGAGACGTACATGCTCATCTTCGCCATCGACTTGCTTCTCGCGCTCAAGAATCCGTTTACGGCAGCGAAAGGCCAGATGAAGCGGTACCACATTGCAGGATGTGTGTGGAGGTACGTCTGCGCGCCTTCTTTCGTTGCCTTGGGCAACTCACACGTCTGACGGCTGTAGCTTGATCTTTGCTGGCATTTCTCGGTGCGACAACCACTTTGCCTTGTTTGGGTTTTGCTGGATGGACGTCGCGACCGCCACACTCAAGACCAAGTCCACGGCGCGGTCTCCGCCCGCCGGTCTCTTTTTTGCGCTGTACATACTCCTCATTTACACCACGTCGCTGTATGCGATTCTTCGCACTTGGAACACGCTCTTAAAGGGGCTCCCAGACACGTTTACGACCCGAGAACGGTACGATGCACATGTGACTCTTTCTTGCTTGATGCGTCCACTCGACTGGTCCTTTTACTGCTCTATCCCCCTTGGTGGCGGCATGTTTGCTGCTTCCATGTTTGTGAATGGCCAAGACCGTTGTCTGGTGGATATCGTCCGTGGCATGCGCTGCGTGCTTGTCTTGAGTTTGGCAAGTCGACGGCAGCAGCAACGACTCCTTCAGACGAGGCTATTCCAATTGCGCGTGCTCGTCGCGACGTCGTGTGTTTTGGCTCGCGCGTTGTTGTTCTAATGGCCATCCGCAGGATCCACCGACACCTCAAGTACTACGTCGGGTGCTTTGTCTTTTACTGGACGGGCGTGTTAATCACGTATGCTGTGTACACAATTGTTCCGTACGAGTCCCCGCACAAGTGCCTTCTGTGGAAGTGCCTGTCGTGCGTGCTTCTCGCCAAAGGCATGGTGAACTCGCTCATTTGGACTCGAACGTCCAACATCCTCAAGATCATCCAACAATTGCACGAGTTCGGGTACGTTTGATCGGTGTGCTCCTTGATGAAAACACGGTGGTGTGTGTGTGGCTGGCATGAATTTGGCTGGCGTGGCGCATTTGCTGCCTCAAGCAGAGTGGGCTCGATATATTTCGATTCTACCCGTCCGAGTTGTACATCTGGCGCATGTGCTGTAAAGGAAGAGATGTGAGTGCCCGTCGACGGCAGTCCATTCCACAAGGAAAGTCCTTGTCGAGGCCGATAGATCTGGTGCTTCCACACACTTGTACTGCTCTTTCAACGTATTACGAATGCGATCGAGTGCGCCGTGGCCGTCCTCATATGTGCATGGAGACGACATGTTTTGGGTGATGGCAGCCAGTACGGAGGTGCCATGAATGAGTCTAACGACATGTTGGGATGTCGTGTAGCCACGTCGACCTGCCGCCGCACGACACGAGCATCAACTGGGCCCTGCGGCTGGAAATCTTGACCAACACGACCAAAGGCATTTGCGAATCGATCGAGCGCGCTGAAATCGAGGCGATTCATGGCCAGAGCACGGATCGGCACATCAAGTACACGCAAATTGAGGAAATTCCACTGCGGGGCGTGAGCTGCAGCGGCAACCTTGCCACGCACGACGGTCCGGCAACCGTTCTCTTTTACGACTACGCGCCACACATTTTTCGGTTCCTTCGAAGCTGCGCGAGCATTTCGAACGCAAGCTACCGGAATTCGCTGCAACAAACGACCAAGGAGCGTGTGAGCGAGGGCAAGAGCGGCGCGTTCTTTTACTTTACGCAAGATCTAAAGTACGTCGTCAAGACGCTCACCCACGAAGAGCTCAAGTTTTTGCTGCAAATTCTCCCAAAATACGTCACGTACGTCGAGCGATCCCGTCGATGGATGGCCCGTGACCATCCTTGTTTCATGACGTAAGGAGGACCATCCACTGACTGTGGCGATGCATAGTTTCATGTCGGCCAACCCGGACACGTTCGTCACTCGGTTCTTTGGATGCCACGCATTGACCATGTATGGCAAAACGATGTTCTTCATCGTGATGCAGAGTGTGTTTGACACGCGGCTGCCCATCCACGAGCGCTTTGATCTCAAAGTAAAAGCATGCGTGTGAACCGCACGGCCGATGTCATGGCAGACGTAGGGGTCGTGGGTTGGTCGACTGGAAGGCCGCAAGACCCGCGGGACGTCGGCCGTGTGCAAGTACTGCGGCAAGGAGTACATCATCGGCGGGTCCCACGACCAGCTCTGCGACGTGCGGAGCAACAACGGGACGTTGCGCCACCAGTACGACAACGTGGGGAAAGACTTGAACTGGAACCATCACTTGAAGCTGCCCCGCGTCGTGGCTGCTCAAGTTGCCAAACAACTCTACACGGACTCGATGTTTTTGAACCAAATCAACTGCATCGATTACTCGCTGCTCGTGGGAATCCACCACCGCACGTTTCACGTGGGAACGCCATCGAGCCATACGTCAAAATGGCCCGGTCAAGTCGCTCCGACTCAGCGAGGTACGAGCGTCAAGTTGATTCCAGCCTTATGCCATGCATTCGTCGTTGCACGGCGCTGAACGACCCGTTTGATATGTACTGACTGGAACAAACAGGCACGGACAACGCCCGGTCGAGTCCGACGTCTCCTGGCGGTGGAGCAGACGACCCCACGGGATCCAGGACCTTCCACAACCGCACAGCGTTTGGCTCGACGCGATCCACGGGACCGACCGACGAGGGAGGACGTCCACGAGAGGAGGATGCCGCCCACCCTCGCGATGAAAACGACGTGTCAGCATTTCACCACGGCGGCATGGGCGTGGAAGAAGTCTACGGGCCGGGGGTGTACTTTATGGGGCTGATTGACATTTTGCAGCAATGGAACATGCGCAAGCGGGTCGAGCACTTTGTCCGGGTCTACCTTTTTGGCCAAGACCGGCTCGGGATCAGCGTCGTCGCGCCCAAGGAGTATGCGGACCGGTTCCAGAAACGAGTGATTCGCGACTTGATCCACGACTTGCAGCCCCCGCTTCGCCATCACGACCGATCGGACGACGAATGCAGCCACGGTGACGACATGGCGGCCGACGAATCCAGCGACGTGCACCACCCGCACGCGTTTGAGTCGTCGTTTGCGTCGGACGGCACGTACGACACGGTTCACTTCAACGAGACATTCTTGAGCGTCGACCCGGTGACCCCTCGATCGAGTTTGAACTTATTTCCACAGCTCAAACCGGCCAACGACTCGATCGACCCCTTCGACCACACACGGCGCAGTGTTCCTCTCGATATGGCCAAGCCCCTCGCACCCCCCGTCGGGATAATTCAACGAAGTGGAACGGGCGGACACGGAAAGAGCGACCGACACGTTCCGACTAAACACGCATGCTCGTCCGTCGAGGCGTCCCCCGTCAGCACCGTGGAAGACGCCGCGACATACAACGCGATGCAGACCCCGCACCAAATCGCGGCACTCCTCCGAGACGACGGCCACGTGTAAGAAGTCGTTGTCAATGCAATAATCCATTTCAGATGAATGCGTTGACTCCATGTCTGGTGTGACAACGACGTGCTCGGACCGAGAATGTTCACGCAGTGTGCCCACCACGTCATGGTAACCTTGTGCTACGAACCCGCCACGTCATCCTCGTCCAGCACGAATAAAGCGCACGGCACTGCCAAACCATGTCGATGAGGACGCTGCAACGTGTTGATCTCGTGTGTCTTTCTGCGCAGACGCACCCCGCTTCTCGCATGTTTGCATGCCATGTAGGAATAAACACGCGAGGCTTACTCGGTGGACGGCGCGTCGTCCTTGTATGCCTTCAACGACGCCTTGCGCTTGTGTTCGTCCATTTTGTCCTGGATCACGCGCTCGACCAAGGCGGCATCGACGCCGACCGTGTCCTGCGCGTACGCCATGTTTTGCATGTACAGCATCATTTTCGCAATCTCGCGTCCGCTCATGCCGTCGGTGGCTTTGTCGTACTTGTCAAGAATCGTTTCGCACTTGGGATCGTCGCCGCCTGGGAGCTTGGCCACGCACTCTGCATCTCAAGTGAGTTGTGCGGGCACAACAACGACACACGTCGTATCGAGGTCTGGACGAGTCTCACCATGATAGTACTGCCGCATCAGACGCAATCGCTCGGCGGCCTCGGGCAGGTTAAAATGGAGCGCGTCGTCGATGCGATCGGTGACGGCCGTGTCCAGGTCCTCTGGTCGGTTGGTTGCAATGACAAGCATAAACTGTTTCGTTTGAGTGCCCTGTGACACAACGACGTCGAGTAAGCGCACGACCTTGGCACACTCGTCTCAACACGAAACAAACACCACCAGTCCATTCTTCCGACACCCCCACTGCCGCAGAAGCTGCTCGGACCAGACAGCATCTCGCATCGCCCATCAAGGACGGATCGTTTCGATGAATCGTACGCGCATGTGCGGTAGCAATACCAAGCCCACGTCGACCCATGGAATGCCTGACCGAATGCATGAATCGATCGACGTACGGTGTGGAAAAGCAGAGCGTTCAAAGCATTGCGCATGGCTTCACTCATGTGCGTCTTGCGGGTCGCACGGCAGCCCAGGAACGCTTCGGCTTCGTCGATAAAGATCAACACACCTACATCATCCTGTCCAGTGACGATTCGTTCCACAAGTGGATTATTCCGTTTGCATCGATATTTCAAATACCCAAAGCTCGACACCCCGCCATCACCGAACAAAACGTTTACCTCGTGGAGACGATTGCGCCCACCGAAACAAGGCGTGGAGCTCTGTGACAGCGTCACTTCCCAGTGGACCCTACCGGAACCAACAACCGTGTCAATTCATGTTAGATCAGGCGGCATTTGTTTAATCGAAACCCATGCTCCATGGACACAATTCAGTCGTGGCCTTCCAGCATGAATCCATACCACGTCGCCGCCACTCATAATGGCATAGTCCATGCCGGACGCGGCGGCCAGGCGCTTCGCCACCATCGTCTTGCCCGTCCCGGGAGGTCCGTACAGCAACAAGTGGCGGTACGGCACGTTGTGTTTTTTCTACCCAGATTCACGACAAGTTTCAACGTGAATGGAAGAAACAAGGGGCGTTGATGGAACGCACGGCATTTCTCGTCGCTCGGGCAAGCCCCAGCAGTCTTGTCTCGAGCGCGGCATGTACGACAACGTCCTGAAAACTCTCGAGGCCGACGGGGACCTGAAAGACGCTGCGAAGCCATCCGAAGAAGCCGCCTTTTCGCGACGTTTCACGCACCAGGGAAGGTTTCCCGAGTCTACATTATTACCATGCGCGCATTGTCAAACACAGACGAGATCGACATCGATATAGAATACGGACGGCTCCACATCGACGTTTGACATCATCGATGGACACAAAAGCGTGATAAACGATCCAAGAACGAGGTGGATTTGAGATGGGAGTCAAGGCGTACCGTTGTTCGACGAGCCGTCCGGCAATACGCATGATTTCCCGCGTCAAGTAGATGCCAAATGCAACGGCAACGACGGTCCCGACAAAATGCAGCAATTTGTCCGTGTCGGCCAGCAACGTCATGGCTCCGTTCCCAATGTTGTCAAAGGCAGTTTGGAGCGCACGCAGGATCTTTTCCTGTTCAGCCGCGAGCCTGTCGACACGCGTGTGAGTCTACGCCAACTTAGACGGGACACACGTGGCCTGGAGCTGCTGCATCTCAATGTCGTGGTTTAGGCGCTGCTGCTTGATGCGGCCTTCGACGTCGATGACGGCCTTTTCCAACGTCGTGTTCTGTTCGACCCACATGCGTTCCTTGTCGGCTGCGAGCTGTTTCTCTTTTAAAATCGTCTCTGTGTCGCGCCGCTGGAGTTCCATGCGCTGGCTTGCCGCTTCTTGCAACTCGACCTTGACCGAACCAACGCACATGTCAACGCGATGGTGAAGCCATGGCATCAAACGACGACATGCAATCTCTCTTTTACAACGCAAAGCCCATATGCCGTCATCAAGTCCACGACGGGAAGCTCGACATTTTTGTCCTGGCCATCGCGACATCCCTCGCAGCAATGTTCATATCGGCAATGTCGTATCGACATTCGAGACGAACGCAGTGAAGACACCTCCATGAACCAAACGCGAGACAAACACCAAACATGTCATGCTTCTGCCATTCAAGCCGAACGCAAGCAACAACACTCGAGATCTGGCCATCTGATGTCGCCGACTTGCCCAAGGACAAACGGGCGACGACATGCAGACACGGCAACTGGGGCATGAAATTGACGGCGCGTACCAACTCCTTGTTTTGATCCCGTCGTTGGATGTCTTCGAACTGGATGCGCTCTTTGTGGAGGGCATGTTCCTTTTCAGCGACGAGCAAGTCGTTCACTTTTTTCGTCTCGAGTGACTGGCGCTCTTCCAAACCTAATGGCCATGTTAGAGTATCCAATCTCCATCTTCTATACGGCGTGCGTGCCTTGGACTTTGGCCCGTTCAATCTCGAGTTCGACTTGCTTGACCGCAGCCTCTGCGATCTTGCGCTGTTCGACGAGCACTGCGGACGCCTCTTGCTCCAAATGGCCTTGCAAAAGCGCGAGCTGGCCCTGTGCAGCCGCGACTTCGACGGCCAACGAGCGCAGCGCCATCTGAGCTTCTGCCGCTCGACGGATCAACACTTGCGTCGCTCCTACATTGTGCATAAAGAGTGCGTCCTTGTCGATAGCGTGGAAGTTCTGAATCGCCACTTTTCTCTTCTCCTGTGTGAACACGTGCCGCTCGGGGTACACGTGGATGCTGTCTCGAAGCAGCTCTTTGTGTGTTGCCGACGCAAGAATACCAAGTTGCCGACGTCCAGGAATCGAGTCGTACTTGAACTCAAAGTTTTGCAGGTGCACCTATAGTGGGTAGTGCGCACTGCTGAGTGATTTTTGTGTACATGCTGGCGTCAGCTGTCGTACCTGCGAGATCACGTTGAACGAGTGCGAAACATTGGCCGACTCAATGCCATCGAAGGCATCGTTGTACGGAACTGACGTCACATTCGCACTGGCCTTGGCATTTCGACCAAACCAAAAAGCTTCGGATGAGCCCGCCAGAAGCGCGACCAACGCGCCGATCACCACCAGCATCTTTGTCGCCGCAAAAAATCTCGAACTTCGGCATCCGTGTCCTTTCGAAGGTTTCCTTATCCGGATAACATGTCCGGTTCGGATAAAATTGCGGATCGCCGCTGGTTTTTCCTGCATTTTCGTGGACGGCATGAATAAATCAGGAAAAATGATCTTCATTATAGTTCGTGCTCAACCAGCCCTCAGTCGCCACACTCTCCAACAGGAAACCACGCATCGAATCTCTCCACTTTTCAAGCGCGTTGTGACATGCTTCAAATCCAACGCTTGGCCCAATCAAGCCATCTCGCCGTGCATGCCATCGTCACTTGAAATCCGCGGCATTTGCCTCGTCAATCGATCGTGACGGGTACATTCAACAACAGTCGAAACACACAACATTCGACAAAGTGGAGGAGAGCTTTGGTGTTGGTGAAGTTCAGCATGTTAGCATGACAAGTCAGACTCGGCATCGATTTGAGCGTTGTGGACTCGATGGTTTTGCCTCTATGGCGTTGATATATGCCTTGTTTCGCAGGGTTTGCTCTCCCCAAAATGGGATCACATCCAAGCGAGATCGCGTGTGATGGAATCTCCGCGTCCTTTCAAATGCGCTTTTCCCTCCTGGATCTCCCCATCACACAGCGTATTATTGCATGGCGATGCTGTCCCACTAAATCAAAGAGCATGAACGATGTTTTTGCCATTCGGCAGCTCCATCAATCGTTTTTGAAATGGGCTTGTGCGGGCCACAGTTTGCTTAACGCGCGAAAAATGCCGCAGGGTTGATGGTACCCGTCCGTAATATTCATGAGAAAAGCAAAGCGATAGAATGGTGGCACATGGACTTTCCAAGGGGCGCCGATTATTCCTTCGCTCGATTTAAGAACTCACGACGAAGGCATAGAGTTCAACGTTTCCTCGGTGTTACGAGCTTTCGTCGAGGAGACGGGAGTCTCCATTGCTTGCTCGTACGCTGCCTTCATTTGATCAAAATCGAGCGATTCGAACTGTTGCCGCATCGTGCCCAAACTTTGGGCAGAGCATACGGGCATGGTCTTTCGTAGCACATTGAAAAGCGTTCGGCACTCAAGGCTATTGAAGAACTTGCGCAGTTGTTGCCGCGATGGGGTCGCTCCTTTCAACTCTCCCATTCCCGACGCCGCCATGCATGGAACGAGAGGTGTTTCGTGCAGAAGGATGTTGAGATGCATGTCGTTCTTGCATTTGACCTTGTCGGCCCAGACGACCAAGCACAGGCACAGCGCGATCGCACCGTGAAGAAGCCACCAGGGGGCAACCATGACTACTGAGCAATGATGTCGGGAAATCGAGAAATGTGTTTAGCGGCCACCTCGCGCCGCCGAGTGGCATAGGCACTACTGATATGGCCCCGTCTCGAGTCGTAACCCGGGTTTATCGACGGTAATTGCATTAAAAGCCATATATCGCGATGCCGTCGACAGTATTTTTCGTGCAGAGTCCCATCGTCCGCACCCAACACGTACAACGAACGAGTTGACCCCTGACTGGTGAGACAACCTTTGATCGGCGTTTTTGTGGTAAGTGCCCTCAATGGAGGATGACAGGTGGGGGTAATCGCACCACCCACACCACAACACTCTATGCCATGCCCCCGTTGACGCAATAACGTTTCCGTCGGTGACGTGGGACGAGTGCTGCGTTGTTGTAGCTCGAGGCCAGTGAAAGCGCCAACGTGCCCCCGCCTGCTCTACCCAGAGCGCTTGCGTTGATTGCAACTGTTCTCCGCTTCCATGGATACGAATGTTCCGCGCGTGGTGTGATATCTCCGTGAAGGCAGCGGCGACGCCATCTCTCGATGTGGCACCGCGTTCCGTTGTCGCGGCAAGCATGTCGACATGAACTGTGTCGGTGTATTGTTTTTTGTGTGAATGAATGCCCCATTTATTAACGCCTGAAGTGATCGAGCACGGTTCGTAGTGTCGTGCATCGGATGTCATGTGGGGTTGTCACTTGCCAGCCAAGTAGTCGGCTTGCGGCTCACGAGGTGATGGTCGCACCCAGTCAGATGGACGCAGGTATGGACGGACACTGTCGCGGTGCTTCGAGTGGGCGATGTGGCATTCGTCCAAGAGCAAGTTGTCTGCATAGTCAAACGAGGGACCGACAGCTTCGGAGACCAGCCCGAAGTCAGCCTCGCCAGACACCAACGACGCAGCTTTCCACCACCCTCTAGGGCATGTGAACTGCAACACGTGTCCCTAGTGCAAGTGTGACTGGTCGGGAATTGCTGGCGTGCAAACACCGTACACTGTGAAGGTCGGGACCCAAGATAACCCTCGTGAGCTCGTCGGTCGCAGGGTCCACCAGAAGATATGCGATCGCTTCACCTACTCGGGACATGGGCGAGCGCTTTAATGCAATTCAGCGAATACCTGCGTGCCAGAAATGTGAGATGTCCGACTGGGCGTTGACGTGAACATACATCATGGGCGCGGGCTGGCGAAGCATGTAGTGAATCGTGGAGATACAAGCTCGACGCGGCGGGCCGCGACCGCCAGGCGTGTCAACCTGAAAGGTTGAGCGGTGGCGAATGGCAAAGTAGCCGCCTTCCTCCGGGTGAGGCACCATCTCGAGGTGCTTGATGTAGTATTCTGCGTCCATCTTGTTGCGACGGACCGCCGTCAACCAATATTAACCACTGCAATATTTTTAATCCGTTAAATGTACCCCGTTAAATGAAACGATACAGTGGACTCGAGCGTTGTCACCAAAATCAGCACAAAAAGGCCGCCATATTCGGGATATCCACAACCGCTGGTGCATTCAATTGCTTGTACGGCACAGCGTCGTGGCACCGAGTGGTCCGCCGCCTGATCGGCCGACAAGTTTGGCGAATTCGCCGAATGCATTTCATGAAAGCGAAAACTCAGTGAACAATAATGTTATCCGGACGACCGTTTATCCGGATTGCCGCATGCCACGCCAAGGTTGCGATGGCGAAGGAAGGAGTGCGCATTGTGTCGACCGGTGCGATCTGGGGCTACGTGATCGTGAGCCTGTCCGCGATCTTCTACATCACATTCATGCAAGTGACTGCCTTCCTCGATGTGTCGATGCGTCCAACGGTGGTATGCTGTAGGTACTTGATCGTGGTGGCCAAAGTTCTCCCGCCGCCAACACCCGGTGGTGCATTCCCCATGATGGACGCGATTCGAGCCGATCAACATTACTGTTATCTGGTGCCACTGACTATTCCTGTCGCGTTTATTGCCATGTATGTGAGTTGGGTCAGTCTCAAGTACTTTCGGCAAAACTAGGCACGGGCGTGCCGTCGCGATGAAACCCAACAAACTGGTTGTTCTCGATCAAGTTCTTCTCCTTGGCTTTGCGCAACAAGTAAACGAGAAATGCCGCTTGCTTGGGATTGCGTCGAATGTTCGACACCTACAAAGACCACTTTGTCATTCCCCCGTGTCCTTCGGTCAAGGCGCCTTACCGACATCGCCGCCTTTGTGTCGCATTTCGCTGCCGCCTGCGCGACCTTGACATACTTGTTGAACTGCTGGCTGTGCTCGGGGTACATCTGAGCGTACGGACCAATCTCATGGTTGAACATGTTGAGTCCAACGACGACTCGACGCACACCAGAGGGCAAAAACGTCACGGGAGTGCTTCCGTGGGGAAGGTTCCCGTCGATAAGGATGCCTCGGCGATGGCAGTACGGAACGACATGGTCGTGCACCTAGGCGCGGGCGAAAGATAAGCGCGAACGAGTCCACTCGATTGCTAGGCGATCGGCTCGTCGTTCAACTTTTCAACCTACCGTGACGGGTCGCCGCGACTCTTTGTACCCGTGGACCTAAACATTTGCGGGATATCAAGTCGACCGTGAAAGAGCCATCCAGACATACTTTATAATGCGAGAGTCCGTCGGTGTGGGCGTAGAAGGCGCCGCCATGGATAGCATCTTCGGGAAGAGGGCTGACATGCAGCGTCCCGCTGTACAGTGGTGGATACGTCACATTCGTTTGGTATCTGCGGGGAGAACGGAGATTAGTTGGAGGATGCATGCAAGGGATGGAAGAAAAACCTCAAACACGACAACACCACGAAGCAAGCTTCGATCGTGACGAAGATGGAGGCCCACGAGAGAGGAGAAACGCGGCAGAATGCCGACGGAGGCTTTCAGAAATTGAACGCCAACATGCAAAAAGTGGACAGAGGATCGAGGTCGCAACACGACAAAGGTGTAGAACCCACCGGAACATTTCAGCGTAGTCTATATGATACGCAACAACGTCGTTTACGTCGGACGTGATGACCCATACGACGACGCCGTGGGTGTTGTCCCAGTCTTGCGATGGAAGCGCCTGGAGTGGTTGAGGTGCATGAAACACGACAAGGAGCGATAGGATACCTGTGAATCGACGAGGAACTCGCGAATGGCATGGAGTGCGAGGGTATGCCGCGCATGATCTTGTTTGGAATCGGGAAAGACATTGAGGTGCTTGTCAAAGATCTCGGTGGTGAGGATGTACACGCCCCACACGCGAACGTCGACCGCAGACGCGTACAACTGCGCGGCAAGTGATTCGGACACGGCATTATCCGTCACACGGAACACACCAGGCAATGCTCGAGGTTGATCGGCCACCATAAAACCTGGGTTCCATCCATCACACCAGGCAAAGCTTACACGATGTCCCCTTGCAAGTACCTCGCGAATGAGAGTCCGACGACGAGGATGATCCCGTGGGATGGAAGCCATCATCCCACGGGACAATGCGCGGGTGATCTTTGAACCAGGACGGCATTCTTGTGCACGTGGACGTTGATGGTGCCGGCGGAATCGCGGCCTTCATCGTTTCGTTCGACCGGGTTTCGACTGTACTCAAAAGTCACGTCAATTATCCAGCGAAATAGTCGATTTTTCGGATAACGCAACCCTTTCCGGAAAATCCCGAGAATCAAGTTGATGGTGGCAATGAACATGACCAAGGGTGACCGATGGGATTGTCGATGGCCGGGAACGACGCATCCTGACACGAGGCGAATGACCGACGCGCTGCAAACGACGCGTTGACGTGACGTTTGAAACTTGAGGTCGACGGCGGACAAGTTCAAATGGGCACACGACGACACAATGACGTCAAACCAGGGGAGGTTTCGACACGGATATGGGTCAACGTAAGAACAAGTCGCTTTGGGCTCCCAAGAGACGCGTGCATGCACCGCAAACATGGGCCAAACTTGACGTTGGCGAAGACCATTTGGGTTTCTCGTCGGCCTGTATCAAGTGGTGGCCTTGGCTCTTTCATCATTCATGTTGCGAACATGCACTCGGTGGTGTGTTGCCCATATGATGTGTATTCACGCTGATGTTGTCGCACTGGATTCAATGCAAAATCGATGACGTGGCATCAACGCCCTCGTGCAAGACGACCTTTCGTACAATACGAGGACGAATCACCAGAGCATGGATGCCACGACGTCGTGGCGCGATGGCCAACGTCCCGCGGTTTTGAAGTGCGCATGCCCTTCTCGTGTTCGCCATGCGAGGACCGCAGGATTCCATCCAAAACTCACGCTGGATACGCTCGAGCGAGCGTACGCGCGATTTTTGAATACCCAACACCAGGTACACGTCCACGTGGATCGCCTCTCAACCACCGCGTCGTGAGATGGAAAGACGCAAATTTGAGCCCCGTGCATGTTTATAATGTCTAGAAGGTCGACACCGGGTGTGTACTCAAGGGACAATGAAGGCACAGACGTGCCGTGATTTTCTTGCGCTGTCCCGATCCATGGCGACCGTTGGCAGTTGTCCATGAAACACCACTTGGCACCTCTGCACCAACGGCAAACTTGAATTGTGCTATGGGTCATTCTTCACGCGTCGTGTTTGTGAAGCACCTGGCAAACATCCCAAGGTGCAACGTTGGCGGCAATTTCCGCCACACCACGGCCCCACGCGGCCACTGCAGCGGCAGTTGCGTTGTCCATTAACGGATTTTCGCTCCTCGGGCCAAGTAGCACGATCACCTCGACATGAGGATACGCGTGGAGGTACGTGACCAACAGTGACGGGCGACGGAGGTACACGGCCAAGAGCGCCGCCACACGTATCGAGTGATGCTCGTCGTCTGCGCCAACCATGGAAGCGTCGTCACGAACAAGTCGAAAGCAATCTCGAAGGAACACGTCGACAGGCGCGGTGTCGACGCCAAAAACTGCAATGTGGTCATGTGTCGGCTTGATGGGTTCCAGTTGTCGAGCCAGGAGCATCTCAAACAGTCCCGACCCGCAGCCAATGCTAAGCACCGTTCCAGCAGACGCCACGACAGGTTCGAGCCAAGGCTGCAGCGAGCGCAACAAGGCTGAAGTTGGATTCACGCAGCAGAGGGACGTTCGAGTCGGCAAAGCATCGATCAGAGATTGCATACCAGGCACATCGCCGTGGAAAAACTGTCGTCGCAGCGTGTCCGCGGCGGACGTCCCCCCGTCGTTCGAGTACAGGGGCAAGTGGCCACCACGGTACATGATCGGCACAGCGCGAATGCAGCCAACTTATTTTAATCTCTTGGTTTTTGTATGACGTGGTGAATTAAAAAAAACTCTGTTGGCCATGAGGATCCATGGCGTCGAGGAGGATGGAGCCACAAGTCGTATTGTTCTTGATTGTAGCTACCACTCGCGGTTCGAAATGAGCTCCTCTACGTCGACGTCGAAGCCGTAGGCAGCAGCGATGAACCCAATGTCGGACCCGATCGCATCCCGAGCCACGGTTTCCAGCATGCTGCCACGAGCTTCGAACGCTTCTTCGAGTTGATTGAACTCTTCTGTCGTAGCATGCGTCAACTCGAGGAGCCTGGCGGGCGTCAACGGCTGGGCTTGTTCGATGTCGTCGCACAAGCGTTCGAGCAACTGCTTGCCCTGGAGCACCAGGTCCTGCGGAAAGTACGCGTCGCGCGCCATGTCCTTGAGGAACTCGTGGGCGAGAATCTAGACCAGCATGAGTCGCTACGACGTGGCAGTCTCAAGCGCACAAAGACGAGATCGGCACCTTGGCGTTCGTCGGCATGGCCAGTAGAGTTGGGTTTCAGGTGGAAAATATTTGAACTTCCGAAACCAGTTGGATCGGCACGTTGGTAAAAGAGGTGCAGCGAGGAGCGCCGCGCATCCACGGCGAGTTCATGCGCTCCGAACGTCTCGCAGCGCACGTGCGACGGCTTCAACGCCAGTTGCCTCGAGCGCCGCGGTGGTGGCTGCGTGTCGCTGTCGACGCGGCGGCAATTCTAGCTTGTCCACAGCACCAACCATTTATCGCCCATCCACCATTGTCCTTTGTCGCCATTGTGGGGCTATCAACGCTCCGACATGCTGCCAAACCTGCACGCCATGCGCTCCTCGCTCCCGCGCCAACACACTGTTCTTCCTGGGGCACCCAGGTCAAATCGCCGAACCACACGCGCCATGCTCCCTTTGGAGGACGGTGGTACAGTCCCAGACGACAGCGGTTTTCAAGCGTCAGGTTGGCGCAATAGCGATGGTTCATGATATATGAAAATTACATAAACAAGGACGCGACAGTCAAGGCAAGGACGCTCACAGTCCCGGCGACGGCGCTCGAGGGAACGGGCGTCGACGAGGGGGCGGTCGTGGTGCCGGTGGGCTTGGTGGTCGTCGTGATCGTGTCCGGCTTGCCGGTGGTGGACGTGCCGTTGCCGGGTTTGGGGGTGGCACCGCCGGAAGGCTTGGTGGTAGTGGGTTCGCCGGCGGCGGCAGACTTGGCGAACGCGTACAGGTCCTTCAACGTCCAGTTGAACTTGGCGGTGTTGATGGTACTGGTCGCGCCGGTGGGGAAATCGCACGGAGGGGAGATCGCCTTCACCTTTTCCACGACGCCATCCCACCACGTCGTGCACGACTTGGTCGCGAGCATCTTGGTCAGGTCGGCTTCAGTTGGGGTCGATGTGGGGTCCGTGCTAACGCCAGAGTCCTTGGAGCACGTCAAAGCACCAGGGTCGAGGGCGCCCAACGCGAGGACCGTCGTGACCGCTTCGGCGCACTTCTTGGACGCGGCGGCGTCTTGGGCGGCGGCCGTAGCCACAAGGGCGGCAGTGAACAAAGCGCAGGTCTTCATCGTTGAACGAGGTGAATTGGAAAATGGTCCATGCCGTACAAACCTGGGCGTGTCGTCGGTTTGCGTGTACGCCGCGCGACCAGAGACCGAGCACACATGCTCGCCGCCGCTGATCTTGCCGACCAGAGCGAGGAGCATATCATGGACAAAATGCATCACGTTTGCATGTAATGTAGGACCATCTCGGTTGGTCGTCGGCAGTGTCCGCTCCCGTCGGACGTGAATTTGACTGGGATTTTGTATGCGTCGGGCGCGGCATGGGCATCGCCCAGCTTGTTGCATACGCTTGACACGCATTCGAATTGCGTACTTTTCATGTAGTTTTTTGTGCATGCATACAAACGTTATGAGAATACGTGCTTGACAGTTGAGAGAATGCGTATTTACATATGCGATCGAAGGGGCAGCGTAAAGACATCCCGGGCGTCGACCCTTCAGCACTCGACCGAACGCAACCGCACAAACGACGATGATTATGTGCTGCACGCGGCTGCCTACAACCGCACGAACGTCGATGGTTCATCGGCCTGGAGCCAAACAAGCCACAGACGGATGATGCACCAGTGCGCGGACAAAACGATAAGCACATCCTCTCAAGTCGGTGAGACCGGAGGAAGAACGACCACGTTCTCCGCCGAGAGGAGGAGCAAATATCCGTAAGTCCCAACATGGCAATGCGGGCTGCGTACAGGATGCACGATCTCTTTCTTGCACACGTCTTTTCCTGTGATTCGTTTGTCGCTGGTTGGCGTCGTCGAAAGAGCGTCCATGGGCTCTCTCCACCACAATCGCCATCCACCCCCGTCGACTCCCTCCAGCGGCGCACCCGTTGGAAGGCGTGTGACGAGGTCGACGTGGCTTTTTGTTGGCGGGCTCGCCGAGATACGACCGAGATGCACGATGGGTTTGTAATTGTGTCGCGGGTACGTAACAGACCCCCGATGGGATGGCAAACAGGACGTCGACGTCGTATATCCAGCACGCCAGAAGCTTTGGCAAATCGCCATCAATTAGTCACGCGCGAACTCACAGATATACGTGCTGGCGGCATGTCGGCACCACAACTGGCCCGCGTCCGTCGGCGGCGACCTCGAGGCGTTGGCATGTCAAACAGAAAACAGAATTCGCTTCGTTACAAGAACGAACACAACGACTTAGTTCACCAAGTAAAGCGCGACCGTGAGGGCGGCGAGCGCAGCCCCCGAGGACGTCGCGGCCGACGTGACTGAGGGGGTGGAAGTCGACACGGCCTTGGTGGTGGCCGCGGGGGTCGTGACGATATCCGGCGACTTGGTTGTGGTCGCATTGGTGGCGTTCGTCGGCTGGGGGGTCAGCTTGGCGGTTGTGGTCGGCGCGGGGGTCGACTTGGCGTTGTTTTCACCAGCTTCGTTGTTCTTGACCAAGAACTCCTTGAACGTCCACGAAAATTTGTCCGTCGAATACACGGGCGAGTCGTTTACGATGTACGTGCAGGGAGGGGACACGCCCTTGATGGCGGTAGCGATCGAGTTGTACCATTTCTCGCAGTCGGCGGACGCGAGGAGCTTTGCTTGGTCCGACGACGACGTCGTCGTTGTAAACACCGCAGTCATGTCGGTGCCCCCGATGGCTTTGGCACATGCCTTGGCATCAGCGCTCGTGAAGAGAGGGGACACCGCCTTGCCGATTGCGAGAGTACATGACGAATCCGCCGACACAAGCGCAGCCGACGTTGCGACGACGAGGCCAACGGTAAACGATTTCATGGGGCCGTGGAATTTGAACACTGGTGCTGCCACAAGCGGACAGGCTGGTCGCGTGACATGTAGTTGTATGGAGAGCTGTTATTGTATGCACAACGTTCAGGAATTGCATCCACGTCGCCACTCGAGAATGGGTCACTTGAACCAGTTCAACCACATGTTGGACCAACTTTACCCGGCACAACCGTACGGACGAAAGCTTGCCCCAGCATGTGGACGTGAGGATGCGGTGGACTCGGCCCTCTGCTGACGGTGGCGAGCGCTGTCGTGGGCAGCCCTTGCTATGACGGGAGTGCTTGGCGGGCGACTCGCCATGCTGCTGCTTTTCCAGACTGGTCGGTCGAAGGTACTACTAACAACACCTGTGCTGTGTCTTTGTAGATCCGGATGAGGTGACATTTGAGAGATGTGACGCTTGAATCCAGTACTGAGCGGGAGTGGCTTCGTATGGCTTGGCGCCAAGCCGGCACTTTGGAGCTGGTTGTGCCGTGAAGCAAGCCTATGTGGATGCATGGCAGAGGCCATCATGGGAAATGGTTGACCATTCCTGCGATTGCGACAGACACAGACTGAGGTTGTGCCGACATGCCACCGACACAACGAGCGTGAGACGAGGTGATGGATGCTGTGGGATGTGGTGTTGCAATTCGCGTTTTGCACGGGTGGCACCACAGCGAGAACTCGGTGGGATGTGTGACGCTCATATCGAGTTGTCGCACACAACAGGGAAAACCTCGATAAGATAAGCGACGGCGTCAAGCACTGGAGGCAACTTCAGCAGGCTTTGCAAGCAGCAGCGGTCAATGAGTGCCTACCCACGAGAGCAGATGAAGACCCGAGCGTCATCCCACAACATTCTTGATCCGTAACAGCGCGGGATGCCAGTGGTCGACAACGTTGTCTGCCAGGGATTCCTGCGAAGGCCACTTGAGCGAGTTCTTCTTGAGCCAGCCACGATCAAGGGTGCTGTGCAGGGCTGGACATACCTGGCATCGCAAACTCCACGCACTATCACCCCTTGGGGCAGTCAGGGCTCATGAGGAGCTCGGTGGTATCCGACAACGGGACGCATGGGCCAACGGATGCATTACAGGGTAAAGCTGGAATCGCCTTTCACCATTTTTGCCCCAGTCCGCACAGGAAACACTCGCCATTCGCCACAATCGTTGTTTAGCTTCCATCGCTATCTGTTCGAGTCGTGTGCAATAATACATCAAACGCGGCCACGTCATCGTTGGGCCATGGAGAATTCAACACACGGCCGACGTGGCGGCGGCGACGACTATCACGACCGCACTCATCAGCAAGACACCACACGCCTGACTAGCCACAGGGGATGATGTCCTCGGACCGTCGACCGTCGTCGTGGGTCCCGGGAGCGGCGTTGTGTTGACGGGTTTGTTCAAAATTGGCTTGGTCGTCGGGTCCTTGTATTCCGTAGTGACTGACCACTCGATGAGGTCCATGTACTCGGTAAGTGTGAAGTTGTACGTGGACGTGTTGAACGAGCCGCCCGTGTTGTACCAGTATACGCATGAGGGTTTCGTGGCGCGGATCACATCGTGGAGCTCGGCATACCATACTTTGCACTCGTCCAGGTTGGCCATGCGCCGAATTACTTCCGTCCGATTCGACGGAAGGTCGATAAAGGACAATTGACTTGGTGGTGTCTCGGGGACCACCGCCTTCACGCATGCCTTGGCCTTGGTGTTTGTCCTCAGGCCATTGAGCACCGGGGCGAGCTTGTCCATACACGACATGTCGGCTTTCGGCTGCGCGTGTGCGACGTTCACGGCCGCGGCTGTTGCTACAACAAGCACAACCAGCGGTCGCTTCGCTGGTCGGGACATGCTTCGAGCAATGCGTTCGACGGCCGCCCAACTTGCCGCCGATGTGTTTGTGCCAAGGAATCGAGAGCCAGGTACGCAAGGCGACACCGCCCCAACACGACAAGCACGCCCATGTTGTCCTGGTCACTCCCTGATGTTGTTGGGGTTCCGGATGGCTTGCCACAATGGCTTCCGTCCTCGGCGGCCCGACAATGCTACTGGAGTTTGTATATTTCATACCCCGATTGAGATGTCGAGGTCGGTGATCCATTTGCATATATTCTCACCACCTGCAAGGGCTACGTAAAATGTTCTCGCCGGGGTGTCTGAAAAGCTCCATGCACTCGACTTGCCCAGTTACGTATACCTGGCGCGAAGGACTCAACGCGGGCACTCGACGGATATGCCCACGACGCTACCAGCATCAGGATGGAGGACGGTTTATCCACATGAATGTGGGAAATGTATGCATTCGATCTCCTCACATACATAATGGCCCAGGGCGTGCACCAATCACATTCGAGAGGAGAACGGCGATGCCGCCGTCGTTTGGTCGAGCCAATACGGCTGGGCTGTGCGTGACGTGGACGAAGCCGTCGAGGAAAACGAGGCGGTTCGGCCGTGGAGCGACGGAAGCACTCCCGCCAATGTTCCGGACTCGGGTCACAAAGAGAGGGACCTGAATGGTGCGCCGTCGCTTTGTTCAATCATGCCTACACGCTTGAAGAGACGTGGCGGACGCCACTGTCGCCGCCATCCATGTTGCATGTGACAGCAAGTGATGTCTCGACTCGGGCCGAGCGACGGCACCGTTGTCAAAGAGAAACACAAAGCTTTTGTGCATTCCAAACTTCGGTTTACGCCTCTCTTGCTCCATGCGACTACCTCAGGGTTTGTCCAGCACAGCCAGTACGTCCGACACGATGGCGTGAATGGCCGAAGTCGGCGGAAGTGACGAGACTTTGCCGCGCAATACACTTGTCGGGATGGTCGCGACAGACGTGGGAAACGCCACTGCCTAATCCACACCATGTCCATCGATTCGACGCCACCGAATGGCACATGTCGTACCAACGACCCAATCGCGACGAGCACGCGCCCGAGAGCTTCTTCGTCCAAGTTGCCGCCAAGCAGCTAGTGCCAAGAGGTGGAACGTCAGCAAGGCAAAGACAGGGCTAGCCCACCTCGGCCAGCTGAGTCGACACGATCTTCGCAGCTGCCGAGTGTTCGTCGTCGCGGCCAGTGCTCAGTGCCAACGTCGCGTTCATCCACAGTGTCGCAACACTCAGCGCCAACGGTTTACTCCACGACGCAGTAGGTGGCCACGAGCTGTGGATGCCACTTGCCACGGCCTGCACATACAACGAGTAAGGCGGCCATCGAGAAAATCGATCCGAGTGGCATGTCCGATGGACGGTCGTACGTCGATCTGCGCAACAAGTTTGGTCGGGGCATGGGGAGCCCAGTTTACCAGCACTCGAATCGCCAGAAATCGAGTTGCGTCCGCCGCATCACGAGCAAACGCTACAAAGCACGCATGGTGAGTCAGGCGTTTGTTTCCATCCTGTGGTTGGCGCGTCCCCTGCGCCTGTTTATAGACATTCACGGCAACGTACCATGGCGCAGCACCGCGGTCGTGTCGGTGATGTGCGTTGCGCCCATGGGATGCACCAGCATTAGTCGCACCAAATCCAGGGCTACGAAGATGCCAGGCCGTCAGTCAGTGCCATGAAGGATCCACGATTCCATTGCAACTGGCGGTGAAAGACTTTGTCAACGCAACCAACTCAACCAGCTCTTGGGAAGAGTGGGGAGGACCTGGAAAGGCGTGGGTGGGTGGCCATTTGTCCAAGAGCTTCCACACGGTGGCCACCTGGCTCTTGGTAATCGTGCTCGAATGGTAGTATGACGTTTGTTGGAGTGTGGTGATCAGCGCGCCCAGTTGTGCCAAATCCGTGCCCTCCAAAACCTATAGTCAACCAAGGCCTGCAAATTCAGCCCCTTCTCTGCCAACAGCTTTGTAGCATTCGTCACGGAGATGGCGCCTACCGGATGCAATGTATTGAACTGCTCCACGGTCGCCAGCAGCTTGGCTATTTTGGCCGAGTCAAACGTCGCATACGTTCTCTACAGACGGCAGCACTTCATGTTCGCCATCCCAAGGCGTCGTCGTATATGCAAACCAGAGGAAAGTATGGCGACGCCACAGGCGCAGGCGACACAGCCGGTGCGCCGCTGGCCGACGTCGAGCGATCGCCCAATATCGGGGGCTGGTAGTTGGCCGATCGGTCACTGATATAGTCAGCAATCTAGCACCCAAATCCCAAAGATCAGCGATGGCACACGTAGTAGCATGGGGGACAAGGGCCAAAGACCTCTTTCAAGTAGGACGGATTCAGCAAATGCTTGTCGATAAAGGCTTGGGCAACCGTGAACGGGTTCTGTCCTTGGTTGTACCCAATTTCCCTAGTCAGTCCACAATCACAAGTCACCGCGGCATCCCATGGATTGCACACACACACAGCCACCATGCGAACAAAAGGCACACGCTCCACGACACGATGGATTTCGTACAGTTTCTTGACCCCAGACGGCGTTTCGATTTCGACTGGAATCACCATGTCGTACGCCTCGCCATCCACGACGCCGCCACTGCCCGTCCCCGTCACTTGACCAATCTACCACACGATCGATCATCATACACGGAGCGTGGCTGCATCGTCCTACATCAAGCCACGTCCCCGACACAGCACTCCACTGGCACGCCCATGCCACGTTGTCGCGCCGGAACATTTGGACCATCCCGTCGGACTTGCCCACTTGGCTCGCTCGCATGTCATACGGCGGCAGCGATTCCACCTCCACCGCGCTCGGACCCCGCGCCCTATTTCAGGAGAGACGCACACGAGTTTGCAGCCAAATTTCGTTCAACTCCAATTCTCCAATGCAATGGACAAACGCGTCGACACCCGCCGGACCAGACACATTCAGCGCGAGTGAACGAAATATGCAATTGCTGCACATGGGGAACATTGAAAGGGACACACAGCCACCTCATCGTGCATGCAACCAGTCGAGCTCGCAGAAAACACCACTGCGGGTAGTAGACACACAAGCACGACTAGCGAGAATGTTGCGTACGAATAGGACGTACGCTTGAACATGGGCCTCTGCGACTTGAGTCGCAAGGGCCGTCTCGAGGGCATCGTTGCGTGGCGTCCGGTAGCTGAACACACGCACACTCTTGTCTTCGGCACCCGTGGCAAAGTCCCCGTTCGCAAGCGCCGACACACACCACAAGCCACTGGGATGGTCGATAGTTTGTACACACGTGCCATCTACAAATGAGCCACGCACGTCATGCATATCAAGCACCACGTGTCGCGAGATCGATCTCAAGAGAGGGGCGTACCTAGGCTCCAAACACGAGCAGTCGAATCTTCACTAGCCGACACCAAGTGCTGGCTCTGGGGAAGGTACGCCAGCCCGAGCACAAAACCAGGCTTTCCTTCGTGATTCAGCGGGTGCTGGCACGTCACGAGGACCGCGCCGTCGTCAGCCGCACGGAGCTTGATCGATCTACAAACATACAACGAGTGCCTCAAGTCTTGACAAGCGATGAACAACCGGGTGGAGCACTCTAACGATAGCTGTCGTCGAGGCCAACAGCAGCGCGGGACAAAGCAAGGAAGCCCAGGGGGATGCACTCCACCTACCCGTCGTTTGAGCACGAGGCGAACCCGATCGCGTCCACTTGGACCAGTTGGCGCACTGGGCCTACATGGGCGAGCAGCACGCATGAGGACAATTCACGTTTGGTCAACCGATGCTGTCGCATGACGTTGACCCTGAGCAAGTCGTCGAATATCTCCCGCTGTCATGAAGGCGAAACAAGCAGCGTGGAGGCATGGCATCACATGCGCCGACCTCAGACGCATCACGGCAGTTGGAGAATATTGCTCCGAAAGCCATATAGACTCGAGCCACAAACCGTACTGCATGCATTGCACTCCGATGGCCCCGCGAGAAATTGAGGTCTCGTGCAGCATGGACGATGTCCAGATCGGAAAAGTCGTATGCAGTTTCACATTAGGGAAGAGAACTCACCTTGGTGGTCCGACAATGTGCGCGTCAAGGCATATTCAGTTGGCGAGACAGCGTGCCACATGCGAATTCGAGCGTCGACGACTTGATTGCCTTGCTGCTTTCCCGTGGAGCCTGTTGCGATGACGCCGTTGGGAAGACCCAGAACACACACGCCGTTCTCGTGGTCTGGCAGGACGAAGCGACAAGTTTGGCTGGCAATGTCCCATCCACGACATGTCCCGTCCCAACTGCCCGAAAGCAATTGAGGTGTCGTGGGGTTTTGAAGCCACGATAGAGAGATCACGCCACTGGAGTGTCCTTTCAGGACTGCCACGCAGGTATACAATCCATCGGATCGAGTGAAAATTCGCACATGCGTGTCCATGCCACCCGTGGCAAACCCCTCGGACAACAGTATTGCCTCGTGCGCGGCATCCAGCGGCACGATGGCCGTGACCCAGTGCGAGTGCTCGTAGATCGACTGTTTTGGCGCGCTGGACACGACGTCCCAGCATAGCACTGTGGCATCCATGGCTCCCGTGACAACAGTCCCATGGACGTCAGCAATCGCTCGAACCTAGAGCAACTTGAGAAGCAGTGGGAAGGGGGGGACGAGGACTCTTACCGCGCCACCATGACCTGTCAGGGCGTGTGCGATCGAGTACGTCGTTCCAGACGTCGACGATGTTGCCATGCCGTTGGAGGGCTTTTCCAAAGTGTGCTTGTCACCTCCGAATGCAGGAATCCCGATGCATGATTCGATGATATTCGAGGTAATTGCTGGTTTAAACCAATCATATCGCTGTATTAAAAGAAATCTTGCAATTTATAGCCTATACAATTTTGATTATGAGATAACACCATGCATGTGAGCTCGACCGCAAGGACATGCCCCCTCATCCGTGTTAATACGACAATGCGCGCGACGACGGCTGAGAGAGCTAGCACAATACGAGTGGGTTTACAGCTTATATGGTGGTGCAAGAGTTGATGCCGAGATTGCGCATGTTTCAGGAGGGCTGTCGCGGTCGGAATGGGTGTTAACTTTCATCCTCTCGACCCGATTGTGCCATGGACTCATCATTCTCATTCCTCCTGGAGTGGCTCACGACATCCCTTTGCACGTGCTGATAGGTCAGCGTGAAGTCGCCCTCAGCTCCTTTGTTCGGGCCATGGACAGCAGACTGAAGCTCAGCATGTGTCTTGTCTTGGAGAGGAAAATTGATGCTTGTCGTCGCGATGCACAGGATTTCCGAGCGAGAGTTTGTGGCCAGGAGATATTCATGGATCCGAGGCATCTACAACCGCGCCAGGAATACACCGCAGCGTTTGGTGTGTGCCAAGTACACATCGATGGTATTCCTATCAGATCGACAGGCCACCCCAACACGAACTCGATTCAAACTCACTTAGATATGTTGAAACGCCATGGATTGGTTGCTACCAGCAACGGCAACGTCATGGCATTGCTCCTTGCTTTCAAGCACAACCACGTCATCGTCAAAGTAGCACACATGGCTTCGCTGCTGGCGATTTCGTCGCACGATGTAGACCGCCATCAGAGCGAGGGCGCAAGCCGCGCCACTCGCAATTCCAATGATGAGGCTGACTGGCAACGCGGTCGCCGCGACCGCGCTCTTGGCTCCGTTGTCGACGATGGGGTTTGAACTGGAGGATTGCGGCCCTAACGATTTTGACGATGAAGTTGTATGCGGCACAACGATTGTCGGTGCGTCCGTGGCATTGGGCATGAAGGACGCCTTGTCCGGGTTGTCCCACTTGAGAGCCATGCAGAGGGGACTACTGGTGCTGCAATCGGTGTCGTGCTTGAGGAAAAACGTGTACGCGCCGCTCGGGGCGTCCTTCATGAGTCCCTTGCCGATGTCGTTGCTGTAGTAGCCCAGGTCTTGATGAGACAGCGAAAACGTCACAACGTTGGCCTCGCCCGCCGCCAACGACAGCTTTGTAAATCGCTTCAGGAGTTTGGTTTCGGCATGGATGCGAGTCGCAGGCGGCGTTCCAAACAGGAGCACGGTCTCTTGCCCTTTGACAAGCCCGGTGTTTTGCACAGTCACTGAGACGGTGAACGCATTCGAGCCCGTCGAGCTGAACGATAGCGCCGTCGTGCTGATGGTCGCGTTCGAGTAATGGAAGCTCGTGTAGCTCAATCCGTCGCCAAACTGCCACTCTGCAGGACACTCGTACTTGATGCCGTCCTTGAGACATGACGTGTTGGTGCGCTTGTAGTACGGAGTTGCCAAGTTGATGCTGGTGTCCGTCTTTGGGTACGTCATGGCCATTCTTCCGCTCGGATTGACTTTGCCCAGCAACACGTCTACAATCGCTTGGCCGCCAAATTCACACGGCAGGCCAGCAAAGATGACAGCGTGCGCAAGGTCTGCTATCCCGTTAAGCAGTCGAGGACGCCCTTCGACCAACACCAGAATGATCTTGGTGCCGGTCGACTTGAGCGCCTTGACATACGTGAGGAATCCTGGTGGGAGGGGCTGCTTGTCATCGTTGCCTTTAAATTCAGCGTAGGGACGTTCGCCCAGCACGACCACCGTGTAGTCAGCTTTGGCTGCCATGGCCTTGGCCGCTTCCAAGTCGCCGGGCTTTCCGTCGTTGTCGACAAGGTTCCCGTCCGTGTCAAACCCTTGGTAAAACGAAAATTTGTCCGATCCCCCAAGGGTGGTCTCCATCGCTTTCCGCACGGACGCGCCCAACGGAAACACTTGGTTCAGGGACGTCCCCTGCCACCACAGTGACCACCCACCGCACAATAACCCGATCGAGTCGCTGCTGGAGCCTGTGAGGAAAATGGATGCCTTCCCGGGAGTCAATGGCAGCGCATTGTCTTGGTTTTTCAAGAGCACCATGGATTCC